TGTTCATGTATTTAGCCTCAGGTATCAAGCAGCATCATGAAAAGCACAAAGCCTCATCTCAGTGCATTAAAGTCTCAGTATTTTGTGAATGTACACTAAACACATTTTACTGGTCTGTGTCCTGGGACATTACTTTCTGTTTCCCCATCTGGATGGACATTGAAACGTGGGCAAAATCTCAGAATATTTTAAAAAATGTTGCATAATGTAGCTGCTGTGCAGCTTTGACAGTGAAGAAAATGTCAAAGCTGCACATTCTCTCAATTTTAAAATTGTAATTTTGCAAACACAATTTTACAAGTGTATTTGTAAAGTTTCACAAATACACTTGTACAATTTTACATTTCTATTCTATTTGCACAGATAAATTTCAGTCTCACTTTGCACATTGATAATATTCTTAAATCATGCTGCACTTCTCTGAAAGTTGTAAAAGAACATACAACGAAAGGTTTTGGTATGGTTTATGACGATGACACAGCAAAGGTAGGACTGAAATGAACATTTTAGCTTCATGAAATTAGCTATGTTTCTCATAGTTGATGGTTCAGTGAGTTTTGCAAATAACATGTTGATTCTAATGTTGGAAACAGCAGAGCTTGGGTTTTACTCTGATTGGGTGACCATGTGCTGTCTGCTGCATGTTTACCAGGTGTGAGTCGTTAGTGTCTAATTAGCCTCTAGTTATCTCCCCACCATAAAACTGATTAGTGTTGGAGCTGGGTGTTGTTGAGGTAATAAATATTGTTGTTATCATTTAGATGAGTTTTTGCCTGTTACATGGATATGCAATATGCCTATATCGGTTATTGTATAGCATGTGCTTTGATTGATCTTGTTAACAGAAGCGCAGCAGGACCCAAAAATGGAGCCTTTTCTTGGATAATAAATGTACCATTTCCAAATCATTCATGAACTCCTTTAGAAGATGTTTGGAGTGTCCACGAGTATAGAAGGACATTTGATCTTTATGTCTGATTGGTGTCAGTTTCCTTTGATGTCCTTTGATAAATAATGAAGTTAATTGTTTACGGAAGTCACTGTTTCATATTGATTTGAAGACAAATTATTTCTTGATCCTAAATAAAAAACATATAATCCTTAAAAATACACAATTATCTGTGCTTCTTATATTTGTAATAAAGCTTGTGGAGTAGAAAGGTGAAGAATTCTTCCTTCAAACTAAATTAGCTAATTTATGAAAATGTTTTTCTTATCTTTTCATAGCATACATTTGATTAATCACACTTTAACATTTAAAATCTCTTTTATTAGCAGTGAAGTGACATGAACTTGTCTCGTCATTCTGACTGTGTTAGTATAACTCCTTATTTGATGTTAAACAGTGCAGTGCAGTAAGCTGCTTTTTTAATCACCATTTTCACCTGAACATTATTTGCAGCTTTGTTCATAAACGCTGTTGTGTTAATATAAGCATTTAGCTTTTTTTAAAATTAGGGATTAAGAGTTGTCAAAAATCCTAACTGTTGAATAAAACATATCCAGATTAAGTTGGTGATCAGAATGCATTTAAAAGATATCAAACATTTGGAGGAAAATACATTTTTTGTGATGCGCTGATGTGACGGACACAGCTCTTCAAACCAAGTCAATTTTTCACTTTATTTCACAAACTCAGTTAAGAACCAGCTTCAACAATTTTAGTTTTGCACCAGAAGCAATTTTCTTGTCTTTGCACAGTTTGACTGAACCTTATTCTAAAGATAAACATTAGAAAACAGTATGTCGAATCAGCATTTGGAAGAAATCCATCTCTTTATTTGATCAAAATAGATCCAATAATCATTGAGTCATCCAGTTATCTTGGTTGAAATGACCGAAAATCATCCTACTCCTGTTGAGAATTGTCTGATTCACTCTGCAGGTGAATTTCTTATCATTTTCCCCACAAACAGTAAATGATTCAGACGCTATTTATTGGTGAGTGCTTGAGAAAATCCACAGAGTTAGCCTGGTTGACTAGCAACTGAGCTCATAGAAACCGAGAAAAGATTCTCATCCCTTCAGCCTCTCTTTGTTTTTCCTTTTTCCTCTCTGTCCTTCTCAGAAGCTGACGGATATCTAGCACTACGTTTTCACTCAGCCATGCACGATTGCGCTCCTATTTCCCTGCTGGGAGGTCAGCTCTGTTCCGCGTCTGCTGGGAAGCTTTCACAATGGTCTCATATTTAGCCATTTTGAGCCAACAGCAGGTAGATTTGCTGTTTCCTCTGTTTAAAGTACATCATTCCAGCCCATCACTTTAGAGTGAATTTTATAATGGGAAAATGTTTAAGAAATAATGCCTGAAAGTAAAAGATACTACTTAGGATCTTAAAACACAAAATAAATGTTAAGTTGTTTGTAACTTTTACTGCCTGCATTTCAAACTGTTAGGCAGATATTTGAAAATTCATAAACCAAATTGTTTGTAAATACCGTCCTAATTTTTTTTGTCTTTGCAAGTAAGATAGTATAATTCTCTGAACGTGCAGTGACTCCTGGAATAAACATTTTGAAGATTTGAAAATGATGGCCTGGATGAATGGTACCTGTACTGCTTCAATATTTTTGGGGGTATTTATTTTTTTTATGTTGTTTTTCGTCTGCATGTTTGAAACTTGAACAAGCCAAGCACAGTACAATAAACCACTTGAGTGTTTTGGGGTCCACATTTCCTGGCAGAAAGGGAAATGTAAAACAGAAATTATGATGTTTATAACAGGCTGATTTTGGCTACTTTGTTCTGAAGCCTGTCTGAAGGTAATTGCTTCTGTGGCTGGTTCACTTTATTAGATGTTTCTCCAGTGGGCCTGTGCTCCATCTTCGTGATGCCAGCTGATTAGTTTGGCTCCACAGGACACACATTGCAGCGAAGGTATTAAAATGTGTACTGTGTAATTAAAAATGCCAATTGTGAGAGTGGAAACTATTACAGCTGGCGGAAAGAACATCACAGACATCCCCAAGAGTCCTGAAAAGGCATGTATACATCAGGGAAACAATTTCCTGCAAAAATCTTGTACACATGACGCTGCTGCGATTCACTGGGAGTGTTTACAGTACGCGCAGCCTCTCTGCAACTTGCATAGTGAGCGTTTCGTTCATGAGTCACCACTGTCTTCAGCCCGAGGCTCAGCATCCAGCCAGCTGAAGGAGGGGATTCATGTTTTATTTTAGTCCCTCTAATATGCCATGAAGACATCATTATCTTGAACATGTTGTTTTCTAGAGCCTCGATTGTTTAAATGCCACAGAAGATGTGGATGACACAAACAGCTTCACCCTCATCACCGTCACAGAGATCATTAGATGTGCAATTTAGCGTGCATCATTAGATGTGGCTTTTTGTTATTGCCAACCTCAGCAGTCTGTGGCACAGCGCCCCGTCCTTGGTGGGAGAGGGATGTTATCTTTTATGTCATGCACACACCAGCGCTGCCCACAGGGGAGAGGTGAGTTTGCAAGGAACTTGGCTGATTGAGGGCACAGGGCACAAGACACTCTGTGCACAACTTTAGTTGCTGTGAATACTAAGGATGTCTCGCAAGAGACTCTTTTGTCAGCTTCAGCTCCCTTTTAGAAGAGTCATAAATAGCACACAGTGTGAGCACTCTTTCCCCCGGTGTTGGCATGCCATAGACATTTTTATCTTTACTTTTTCTGTCTACATCTGTAGATGTCATGTGACTTATTCCACCAGATCCAACCGAATAGAGATAAAATACTCTGTGATGTTTATTTTGCTTTGCATGAATATGTAATTGTGAAATTCAAATATTTAGGATTTAAAATGAAGCAATGAAAGAAAATAAGATTATATGATAAAACGAAACCTAATCGTTGAGCATCTTTTACTGGCACCTATGGGAAGATTTTATATCACTTACAAAAACAAAGTCAGTGACTGATTAAAAATGGTTTTTAATAATTTCTAAAAGTCTTGTATTCTGGGTCTGAATCCATTACTGAGTAGTTTTTAATGCACTTACCTATTAAAAGGGTTCCAGCTTTTGCTGTTTCCAAGAACATGACTGCTTGGTCACGACAATTTTTAAGTGGATGATTTCAGAATTTAAATATATCTTACTTTAAGATTTTTGATTTGACTCATATGAGTGGAATGAGCAGATGTTGAAAAGTTAGACTTGATATAAATATTTTATTGGAATTCCACAATCTACATGCCTAAAATCTACTTATTTTTTGTTATCACCCCAATATAGCAGTCAAGTTTCTGTTTGTGACCTTAGATTCAGAGTCAGTGAGAGACAATTCCCAAGTCTCACTCCTTAAAAATGGAGCAGCCACCCCGTGCATCAGTAACCTGATTATCCCAGTTGTCAGTTTGGATAAGGCCGCGCTTTGGGATCTGGGTGTCCTCTGATTCTCACTTCAAGATAAAACCGGTCCTCCTGGAGATGGGAAGCGACATCAGAGCAGGACAGACACGAAAACGTAGGAAAAGAAATCACCGGGATTTTATAAAGTCAGGTAAGAAAACAGATACATAAAAGCTTTTCTTTTTATGTGAACAGTGATGAGTTTGTCTCTCAGTCATCAAGTATTAGGCAGTGGTTTGGGGAGTACTTTTCTGTCTCTTTGTGTTTTTCTTAATTGAAGCTGTGCGCCACTGTGTGTATTATATAGCATGCTTTTGCTCATTTGTGTCAGAGCATTCATTGTCTTTTAATGCTGGTTTACTCAATAAGAATTCTGTTATGATTATTTTTAAGGCTTATTATAACCTCTCAAAATAACTTGCCTTACTGAAGCAGTTTAAAGTTGATATGAGAGTGTAGGAGTCTCAGAAGAAGGCAACCATTTACCAAGGGGAGGGAAACAGGATACAACTTGTGGGTGGGTTTTAGTTATTGTTTCTGTGAACCACAAGTGTCTCCTTTATATTCGGTCTTTGGTTCTATATAGGGGAACTTTGTAGCACAAGTCTTTGTGTCTTTTTTTGTTAGGAAAGATGTTTTTTTGAGCCCACAGTATTTATGTCCTTCTTATCTTTTCAGTCCATCATTTGGCTCCATAAAACTTTGGATTAATTTTTGCATCGTCACAGTGGATGAAACTGAGTTGCAATTTGCAGCCCTGCAACAATGGCTGACTGCATTCCAGATAACTCCACCAGCGTTATCCAGAATCCTAAGGCTGACCTACAGGATGGTACCAAAGTTTCACCTGAGTCCGCATCAGCAGCTGTGATCAAAGTGAGACCTGCAGACCTGGGACTGATTCGAAGCCTGTCAAAGTCAGACTCTGACCTGTTGGCGTCTCCGGTCGGAGAGGAGGACGGAGGTCTGGCAAACCGCAGCGGCTCTGTGGCTAACTGCAGTTCTGGGCAGCCGTCCATCGAGCGCATGCCTTCCTTTGCATCTGAGTGGGATGAGGTAATACACAAGCTGTCGGGACAAGCACGAGGGTGTAAATGGCAGGAGGAATGGCACTGTGGAGTGTGTCGCTGTGTGTGAATGAGAAAAAAAGTGGAGTGATAAGAGAAGAGAGGACAGATTAGTGGGGAAAAAAATAGACAAATTTAGCGGCACATTTCAGGAAAGGGAAAGGAAGGAAGAGGAGGAGAGCGGAGGCAGCAGTGTGATCAGGAGTCCGGCTGAAGCAGTGATGGAGTAACTTTACCCAGGCTGTCAGCAGAAAACGCCTGCGGGCGAGTGCTTGAATGCATGAATGGTTTGATCACTTGCACCGACCTCCCTGTAGCAGCCCTGGCATCCAAGACTAATTGGGCTTGTGCTGTCATACCACATCCATTCAGTACATGTCTCAGGGGCCGACCCACGCTTCCAGTGTCTCCTCCTGCTCTTTTGTGGCTCCTTTGCTCCGACTTGCGCCATCTACTTTTGAGCCCACAATGAGCAATCCTTCACTATCCCCTCCATACCCACAACCCACCTGTCCCACCTCCTTCAGGTCCCATTCATATCCTGAAAAAGATTTGACTTGTGATTTCTGAGCATTTGGAGTGCCAACCCCTCCGTTCAGCTCTGTAAACACTGTGAAATTATTTAAAATGTCTCTTTCCAAAACATAAACATTTAAATATGACAAAAAAAAGTCAGTGAAGAAAATGTTTTTGCTAAACCACAGCCGTGACCGTTTTCCACTTCAGAATCAAGGTTCTTTACTTTATGCACAATGGTTAATTCTTATGCGAGAAACTTTTGAAATTTTGTCACATCACAACTACACACTTCAATTGTATCTTATTTGATATATTTTCTTACAATGAAAATCTGAATAGTGTGGTGTGTAACTGCAGTCAGACACTCAAATCATAACTTTGTAGAACTACTCTACGCAAATAAATTTTCAGGAGGCTGATTTGTGCATCAAGAGACTCATTTCCTTTCCTCTGCAAAAGAGGAAGTCCGATTAGAAACTATCTATAAACATACATTTCAAAGCCTGAGTTTACTTTAACTGAGCCATTCTAATCCACAAAAATGCTTTGATCAAAACTCTTCTATTGCATCTCTGGCTGTGTATTAAGACTTGGGGTACTGCTGTTTTTTGCATCATTTAATAGCTTTTCTTCATGGATTCTGACCAGCTCACTTATCTCCACTGAAAAAAAGAATCCTAACAGGATGATGCTACCACCACCATGTTTCAGCATGGAGATGTGCACTGAGCTTTCTCTAACCTGTCAAATTTTGCATGTACATGAATATATTTCTTCGTCTCATCTGATCAGAAAACTTCTTTCTTCACATCAGACTCATGTGATCTCAAAGCAAATTTATGAAACTCATTTATATGCAGTTTAGTTCATTCCAATAAAATCCAACTGTCAATTTTATAGAGTACCATTCAATACAAGCATTAAACATTACAGACATTCAGCTGATCTTAAAAAAGAAAACATCAAATTCTCAGTCCTGATTAATTTCTCCCTGTTTAAGACTATTTGCGCAAGATTATCTGTTATAATCTTGGATTCTCATGGCCGAAACTCATGTCATCTTGATTTAAGCCTTGCTTAGTGCACAGAGACTATGACCCTGTACCACTGACTTGTGCAATTACACTCTTAAAACAGAAATGTGTCACCACACAAGGCCGAGAAAATGTTGAGCTTCCGCTTGAATTTGTGTATCTCCCTCTCTGTCATCTCTCATGCCCTTTTCCTGCTCTCTGCTCCAACCCTTTACTCTCTGACACACACTGTTTGTTCAGGCCGTTCTGGGTGGGGTGTCCTGTTCTTGAGGGCATCCTGTTTTCTAGCTGTTTCAGATGTCTTGTTTTCCCCTCAGTGCTTCAAGGGATTTTCTTTCTTTCCCCTCAGTGCTTGGAGGGAGTGACAAATACAGCTTTCATGCTTTCCTCTAAGTTTGTTTCAAATGTGCATGAAGGCTTATGTTAAAAGCCTTCAGCCTTCACCATAACAATTTCTGATGCTTATTTTACTCAGCATCTTTTTCTTACTTGTAATTTGATTAAGTTTCAAGTTTAAAAAAAAAAAGTTGACTGAAAAAAGTTGAGGAGTTTTGGAGCAGCAGCTGCATCAGAGCCCTTCGTGATTTCTTAAAAGTAATATTGACATTTTGTCAATGGAATAAAATTAAATGTTGTTTATGCTCACTAAGCTTCACGTAACATAAATTTCTACAAGTTTCCATCAGCTCTAAAAAATGTATATATTCCATCAGCTTTAAAAAAAAAATCTATTCCATCAACTTAAAAAAAAAAATCCATCAGCTTTAAAAAAAGAAAAAAATCCTGATGGCTGATGCCATTGCTTTGTCAGGTTAAATTGTGCTTCTCAAAACTTTCCATTATCGAAGTCATTTAAGCTCTTATTGAAATAGTCATTATTTCCAAAGCTTCTGTCATTCCCTGCTTGTTCATTTCTAATTTAGTTCTTAATGTCCCATTGTTGAGGCCTGATGATTCTCATCATTTTTCATCCCTCTGCCTCCTACTGGCTGATCTTATTTGGACTCACAGGTAATCTCGGACCCCAGCAGAAACTGGTTGCTGTTTTTCACCTCTTTTTTTCCACTCATCATTGTGTCTTCCAATCTTTTGTTGATTCCCTCAATTTGAAACCATTTCTCCTGGCACCCCACTGCGGAGAGTGGAAGTTCGAGTCTTTGCCCATCTAATGAACAGCGTGGCCTTCTATCTGCAGAGAAACAATTCTTGACCTTTTCTCTGAGCTCACTTCACTTGTATTTGCCCTTTTTGCAGTTGCTTTCAACTAACTAGTTCAAACAATTGTTTTAGCAGAAGCAGAAAGGAAGAGTCTACTTCTAGTAACAAGCTATTTTATTAGAATACCCGCATGCACCTCTTTCAGATTGACTTTTTTATTTTAATGATCAATACATTTAAGCAACAGAAAAAGCTCAAATAATTTGATTGTGAAGTCTCACACAGAAGCATTCACTGCTGTAAGTTATCACAGTATATGGCACTCTGACATTAAAGTGAAAGCAAAATAACTGTTTCAAGCATAACCTTTATATCCATTTGACATTTTCAGTGGGAGCATATGTGTATTAAATGCTATATCTTGTGGCAGCTGATTTTACAGCAAGCCATTCTTTGTTTCCTATTGCAGCAAAATCACTTGGTATTCTGTTAACAATTTCACTTATATGAAAACGAGTCGGCTGATGTAACGACACTGCTTCTGATGCAAAAACGGCCAAATTTTTGTCCACGTTCAAAGACATTGTAGATGAATGTGGGACACCAGTATGCTCGAACTGATTTGAATCTGTGTGGGATTGTCTTTGATGTAAATAAAACTTTAATTACGGAAAATGCTCAGTGGAAAACCTCAAAGATGTAACCACATCCACCCTGGTCCCTGCAGCAGCAGATGTCTCAGTGCTGCTGCCTGTTTTTTGGTTCGCCTTCATGATGTTTGTTTTGATGTCCAATATCTGTTAGCTTCTGTTGTTTTAGTACATCTGTGTTCTGAAATATGACATTGTCCACATATCAGAATAAAAAGTCTTAATACATATTTAAAATAACCAGTTCATTTTATTATCAAATTTATGTTTTGTACCAGATTCTCTAATGAATTTTGTCCCCCTTCAATGAAAGAGGTATAAGATAAGATAAAACGTAACTTTTTTTATATCTCATTGGCATGATCCAGTTTTTGACTGATAGAGAATATTTTATTTATGACAACAGCATTTTTTTTTTTTGTGTGATGTCTTGTGCAAAAAAAAAAACCTAAACAAAAAACATTTGTTTGTCCAATAAAAGTAAGCTTTTCTTACAAGACAGCCAAAAGCATCAATTTGATGCCAAAAAATCATCACAATGAAGCCAAATTGTGATGAATTACAATTTGGCTTCATATTGGTTGTAAAATATCCTTAACATTCTTATAATAACTTTTATGTTCTCTTTTCAAAAAACAACTATAGGAATAAAATAAAATCTAAAATATCTGCGATTTTCTTCACACATAACGATGTTGTGAGGCAATAAAGAAAAAAGTAGACAATAAAGCAAAATAGTAAATAACCCTTAAAGGTTCAAGGTGGTTCTTCATATTGGTTGTGGTTTAGAATAAAAATCATAGACAAGCCCTATTCATTGTTATTTTTAACTGACTGATCTAAACCTCTGGTCTAGGTTTGAACCTGCCAGTTTTATATTTGTTTGTTAAACACTTGTTAGAAACATAGCTCCAACATTTTTCAGTATAAAAATAGACAGATGGTTTAAATGATTTACACATAGTTGGATGCACTCATATATATAGCTGCACCAAAGCCATCCCTGAAAGGCTTCATAAATATTCCAGCTCTGCTTTTTCCATTAGTTTTGTATAGAGCTTCAGGATGTCCTTTATACAGAAGGATTAAAATACATACAATAGAAATTAAATGTCTTTATCAGTTGATCAGCCAGTTATAGTAAATTCACGCAATATCAACAGTAGTATCGCACAGCAAAAACGTTTTGTCATCAACAATGGATGTGGTATGACAAGCTTTTCACAAAGGTTTATGCTATCACTAAATGTATAAGATACTAAACAAAAACTGTGATGGAATAAAAGTAGAATAAAAGTATTTACAAATCTTACCAGCCTACATTTAGACTTTCTTCACCATCTGGATGTTGTCATTCATGCTGACTTTATTTATGCTGTGTGATTTCAGAGCTGTCAAATAAATAAAAATCACTTCAGAACTGTTGGATATAATTATGTGATCTGTTCTATGTTCACTCCAGAGCTCCTGGCCCATCTGTCTTTATTGACAGTGATACTGTAGCAGTAATCCTGCTTTCAGACCAATGCCAATGAAGCAAGCAGCTTTTTTTTTTCTTGGTTTAATATACTGAGTCATCATTTTCAGTATCTCCTTCGTTTTAGGCTTCCAGCCATCTTTTCTACCCGAGAGAGACAGGCTCAGTAAACAATAATGTACTCTATATCCCTAAAGGACATTGTTTAAGATTATTTCGCATTATCTCCAGCCTGTTAGATAGCATGCAGACAAAGGAGATGAGAAACAATAGTGCAAATAAAAAGAAATAGAAACAAAATGAAATACTGACATTAAACCCTGTTCCAGTGTCTCTATATCAGATAAACCAGTGAGCCAAATTGATTATTCATTAGAAAACCTCTAAAGCTTTTAGTGACCAAAAAACAACCAATCTATATTGTACTCGCTTACAATATAAAACTCACTTTTATCTTTTAAAACTCACTTTTCTGATGAACTGAGGGCTTATCAGGGTTCAGTCAGACTCTGGTAAATTACACAAAGTGAAATTAGAAATTGTTTTGGTCAGAACTACAGAAACATATTTATTTTGGTTTCAACAAAACAACAGAACATTCTAATATAACATTGATAACATCATCAATAGCAATACTTTAAGATGCATTGTGTAGACCGCAAAGCCTTCAACTTATTCAAAAAAATAGTTTTCTTTGTTTGAAAAAGTTCTTATTACAGGAATACAAGAAAGATTTTATGCAAATCTTGGCTTCAGTGAAAGTATCAATGCAAGGCTGAAACATTGGACGTGCCCTACAACTTATGTCATTTACACGAAAGAAATCTCCAGCTGCATGTCACTAAAAAGGCTCCAGGTGTTAAAAGTAATTAAAGCCTAAACACTCCCATGTAATGAAATGTTCAATATTTGTGTGATGATTGAATGAGTTTTTTTTCTGGCTCTTGTGAGAAAACACATTTTCTAAATTTAAACTTATATTAAAACAGGTGACGTTTCCACACTATCACCGTTTTCCGTTTCCGTTCTCCTTGTGTTAAACATCGGTGCCAATGTTCATGGTCCTCGTCCAGATGTTGACAGCTTACTGTTCATTCTTGATTTGTTTGCTAGTCTTTCATCATTTCCCACTCTGGACTTAGAATGATCTGGCCTGGAATCATATTTTTTTATTTTGACATATTCACCTGTCAAATAAGATAAAACGTCTGACCTCAGACATTTTATTATTATTTTATTTTTTTTTGTCTTTTTAAGAAAGCATGGTCTATGCTATGATGAAAAATAACTTGGGGGAGGGGAAGGGTAGGGGATTTCCCATTTCTTTACCATTGGTTTAAGCCTATTATTCATATTTGTAAACTTCCAGTTCAGTCAAGTTGATTATTTATAATAGTACCTATACAGTGAGCACATAATCTATTTTTACTAAGGATGATGATGCACAAAATGAAGGAAATAATTCAGCCTGACTGAACCACTGTGCTTACTGTGTGTAGAAGGCCTAACGCATATGTACATAGTTAATATGAGGGAACGAAAAAAACTGTTGTAACATCTCACAGCAGGTCACCAACTTAATTGGATGAAAGCGTACAGACTACATGGACAAATAGTGATTCTAATTATGAATAATGGCCCCTCTCTGCAATATTTGGGCACTTTAGTAACATTAAAAGATTCAGATAATCCAGCTAAGGAGCAATAAGAACGATAAGAATGTGGTTGTGATCTTTAGTCCCTTGTACAGCATCAATTTGACTAACAGTATAAGGTTTAAGGCTGTACATTAAACAAAATATTTTCTCAAAAGATAATTGAATAAAGTCTAAGCTTTAGGAATAGACACTGGCATGAATATTTGATAATAATACTACTTAAATAACGAGTAAAAATCATAACAGTGTAGATGTACAAGAGTGTCATGTGAGGTCTTTGAAGAGATAGGCTTTCTCCAAAGAACACTAATTATAGTTGGGGGAGCTTGTTCCACCAGCTAGAGACTCCCAAATACTGGTTACTGGTTTTCTCAAATTTAAACTTGACATGTCCGGCTCATGTGTTCCTCTCCCTTTACTCATGTGCCCAAAAATGAAATTCAGTACAACTACTCACTGTCCAAATTTACCAAATTAGTAAATTAGGGCCATCATTCTGTCTAAATGCAATTATTCTGCATTGGCCTCAAAGGTTTCTTGGAAAACATTTGAACAAAAAAGGATTATGAAGATCGAGGAACACAGCAAAGATGGGTTAGAGATAAAGTTGTGGAGACGGAAGTCGAGTAAGATCAGGTATCAATAACCCAACTGTTAAAAATCTCATAAAATACTGCGAAATACAACATTTGAAAAGAAACAAATTAGGGGTATCCATCTCAAATTCTTCAGACTGATATTCCATGCACTTGTTCCAGCAAGCCTGGGGAAGTGAATTAAATACAGGGCCACCAATGAAAAAAAAAAAAAACATTTAAGAGACTGGAAAACACTTGAGACAGACTCCAGACATACAACCTGGGCTGCCTAGACTTTGAGCTAATTGAGAATATCTGGAAATGCTAAAAAAAAATGTATTGAGTGTTGTCTTCTTCTCTGTACAATTTCTGAAATATAATTTCATGAACAAAAACATTCCATCAAAATAGATCGCCATGTCCGGCACCAAAGGTTGGATGGTTTTTCTATCAGATGATGTTTGATTTTTCCAGTGGTTAAAAGTGTAACAGACATATCTGTTACAAAATTGTATTCAATGTTTATGTGCCAGAGAGCTCGGTAATAATATGTAGCTGTGAAATATTTTACCTCTGTTAATTTTCTTGTCACTGGATTTTTTCAGAAGCGTCATGTCCGGAGACAAGTTTTGATAAAGGTGCACCTGGTTGTGTGTGTGTGTGTGTGTGTGTGTGTGTGTGTGTGTGTTTCTAAGTGTCTGTGTTTGATATAGAATGTATCTGGGTTAATTCAAAGAGTAATGTGGGGTCTGTATTGCTGGAGGCATATGCCATGCATCCCACGTGCCTGACTTCCAAATGAATCAAGGCTTTTCCACAGTGTTGATGCCACTAGCGAAGAGCATAGTGCTTTTTCAAACACTAAATATTACATCAAATAAGCCTGGCTGTGTCTCTGCCTGGTGTCAGTAGTGAAAGTAAAAACCTTTTTTTCAGCCTTGAAAAAACCTATATTGCTGATTGTGAAAAGTCAACTCCAGGGTTTCTATATTTAGACACCCGTCTGGTTTGCAATATTTTGCACATAAATTTTGAGGTCATCTGTGCATGAAAGTTGGCTTGCTTGCAGCTGACAAACATTTATATGCAGGTTATATTTTCTTCAGACACCTAAAGAATATTGAATGGTATAAAAATGTGAGTTTAGTTTGCCTGAGTACAGAATAATGTATTGCAATGTGCGTGAGGTCTTATTGTCCTTGAAGCGTTGAGCGTCAGCAAACACTTCAGCACCCTGTAGACAGCTGCTTAACCAGATGAGAGAGATTGTTCTTCTAACATGCAGTGTATGCAATAAATGTGATGCGTCCCAGACTGTTGGGTAGACTTAGTATACAGTGACAGAAGTACTTTATATATCTATATTGAAAACACCAGGTCTGTGCTTCCATCTTCTTTGTTAGTTCAATTATTTATTAAGATATGATCAATTCTATTGTGATCAATAGATATCACGGATGCTGTCTGCTCATCATAATTAAATAACCAAGTGCAACTAAAATCATGTTAATATGTTTGTTCATACAATAAGCGATTAAAAAACATGCTGTGCCATTATCCTTCTACCACTTTCTGTCATTAGCGTTCAGTAGTAATGGCATTTCCATTGCGGTTTTGCTAAATACACTAATATGTATACAACTGAATAGCATTCTTTTTGTTGTTGTTGTTGTTGTTGTTTTTTTGTAATTGCTGTGTTTCCATTAATCACATATATCTTCAGAATTCTAATTATATGGTCAATGGAAACACAGTTATAACTGCTCTCTCAGTACTGTTGAATTAAAGTCAACATTTAAATCCCTCCTTTGTGAAAACTAATATTGACATGTTTCTTGTTTTCACTTCATGCAACATGTTTACTAGCCCCAAAAGCACATCAGTAAAACTTGAAGTTGGCAATGCAGGAAAAATACAAGCAACTAATAGTTTTTTTGTTGGCTCTGAAAGCTCACAGTCTTCTTAAATAAACATTCCTGGCTCTAAAGCCCAAAGCATCCTTTTCATGAGCTTTTGCCTGCCACACTGAGCATACATGATGCTGCATCAAGCTATTGCTTTTGTATTTGTGGAATCTAAATACAAGATTTTATATGTCTGATACTGCAAACTCAATCAGATCAGGGCCTCCGGAGGTTCTGTTTGGGTTATAGACTCCTAATGGAGTTTGGGTTACTGGAGATTCATAGTTGTAATTCAGCCTAGTATCTGTCTATGTTTTTGCTAAGCAGTGGATTACTCATCGAACTGCTGTCTACGTTAACCTGGTGCTCACAATCCATCACTGCAAAGCAGTCCACCCACTCAGTGATTCTAACAGAAGCACACAATTCAAACTCCATAGCAAGTTTCATTCATTCATTCAGAAAAAGGGTTGATAATTAGCACCAAGGCTTCTAGTTTGTGAGCAAGAATTGGATTCTATGATGTATTTTTAAATTATTTTTTCTTCTTTTTTTTTTAACCAGTGTTTCATGCTTGTTTTTAACAGATTGAGAAGATCATGACATTGATTGGGGCTGGCATTGAAACAACAAAGAACCAGCATCACAAGCCAAGCCCAGGTAATTCTTTTTTTTAATAATGCATAATTTCAATTTATATTTATTTTTGAAAAGTAGCTCAAGAAGATCAAACACTTCAAGTTTCTGTAACACTTTATTTGATGGGTTGTTAATAAGATTGTCATGATGTCTTTGTTATGACAACTTGACATTAACCAAGAAAGCATGATCTCACATAACTTTGGCTTTAATAAAATAAAGTCATAATTTTTAAAGTTTAATCAGTAATGCTTTTACAACTAATTTATATCAGATCATCACTGTCATGACAGTCTTATTCATAACCTGTCAAAGAAAGTTTAAACATAATAGATTTAGATTTCTTTATGGAATCCCCTAAAAAGACACAAGTAATGTTTCCTTATTTTATGTACAATAGCACAGTACTGAAGATGATTGCGATAAGTTTAAATGTTAAATAATCTCACCTGATTTTCTCCAAAGAGGCTAAGCCAGGGTTGCAAACTGACACTCCTATGTTTGAAAGATGTAAAATTATGTGTAAAAGATGTGTCATGTTGTGGAATCCGAATCATTGATTTAATCCCTATTTTCAGATGTTTATTTAAAGGGGAAGTAATATGCATTTTCCAATCCAATAGTGACATTTTATAGCACAAAAACATAACTATGTTATGTGTTGAGTTGTTATAAAAATCATATAACTATGAAACTCAATTGAAAACAAATTGGCCTGTCTCTTTAAGTTCCTGCTCTTTCAGGCACTCTGCCTTCAGCACATCATCACAACATTTCTCCATTATGTCCTTTACAATTCTTTGGAGGGTTGGAGTGAAAAGTACTTTGTAAGCTTTGTAGTTGTGCAGTTCACGTTTGCAAAAACTAATCACATATAAATTCAGAATTACATTTTCCATTCTTCAACCAATATCTATTTTCTAAGCCAAGGACAAAGGCAAACTTTTTGCAGCAAAGAGGAACAGTTCAGAGCAATCTGAAATTGAAACTATGGAATGAACTTTCTAAGAACAAAAGACTAATCTGATTCAAATCTGAAAAAATAAAAAAGCAAATACCACTAACACCCAAACGACAATAATTAACCAATTAGAAGTATTGTTATGAGCTTGTCAGTCTTTCAGAGACCCAAAGCAAAATTAGAGTCAAATTCTAAGTTTTTTCTTTCACATGAGTGGAAGGAATAAAAAAAGGAGATGAAACAAAGATTTAGAATAAACCCTGAAGGGTTTTGGCAATAGAAACACCACTGTAGAAAAGGCAAGACAAGTTTATTTGTATATAGATACAATTTAATGTGCAAGAAAAATGAAAGTAACAGAAAAAAAATAATAATTTTATACACTAAACAGTCAAAAGAAATATCACATAATAGAACAAACGCATAAAATGTAATCTTACAAAAGAAAGAAACATAAAGTGGCAACAATTCAGCAAAGAAAATGTTAAAACATGATAGAATAGATGAAGTAATCTTTGGCTTTTATGGGTAAGCTGCAGTAAACCATTATAGTGCTCTAGTCGTAGTGCTTTACAATAAAGTTTATCAAAGTGAAAGAAAAATATTTCTTATAGTTAGAAGGTCATTTCAAGATGTGTGCATATTTATGTGCATGTACACTTAAACATAATCTAACTTGTGACAAATCGGGGCTTCTTTTCCAGTATTAAAGCAGATTTATAGAATGGATGTGTTGTTTTTCTGACTCACAGGGAATTAAACTGAGATTCATCTGACAGCTCATTGTTGCCAATTGTAACAGGGAAGTTTCCTCTTTATGAAAAATGCATTATTTTAAATTCCCACTGTCATTTTGATTTATATTTTAATAGTTTGATAGTGGGCTTCAGTGAGTGTCCTTCAGGAGGTGCAGAGGGAGAGGCCAGCTGGCACCAGCTCAGTGTGTTTAGGTTACACTGTCAGCTTTCTCCATTAAATAAGTTCCTATAAGGAGGTTTCATCTTATTACATAACAGCTTTTCTCTGCACAGGACTGCTTTTTACACAGATTGGCTTGGATAAAATTTCCATCAGTTATGCGCGGTGTTCTTTATGGGCCACAGCAAAATATGGAAAGTTTTAAGGGAGCAAGAGACGACAAAAGATGGCAGGAAATTTTGTTGACCGCATAGATATCCAAATATTGAAATAAGAGGACTGGGTCTTCACAAAATCTTCATTCTTTTCAAGACTTTCTAACACTATCCCATCGCTGTTGGAAGTTTTCTTTGGGTTTTCTGTTAAAAATTTTTCTTTGGGTTTTCAACAAACATGCTGTTATAACAAATATTCTTTTATAACCAGTAAATGTGGTTTCATTGGTCTTTTAGCTCATCCCAACACAACTATTCATCAAACTCAGCATTCACTGACATAGTTGCATCACAAGAGGAAATTGCATCATCTTGTTGTGCTTGACACCATGCCTGGACCAAACTTTTTCACACAGAGCTGAATAAGTTTGTGAGCATTTTCCATCAAGAAATGAGCTTGGATAGTAATGTTGATATTTCTTTTCTACTGGTAAACTTTCACTATCTGGTTTTAGCAACTGTAGGTGGTGTGAATACTTTTGAGGGGCATTTATCAGACATGATGAGGAATTAAGTACAATCGGTTGCAAAATGCCTGCACAGACTTCCTGGATGGAAATTGCACAGTGATTGTCCACAAAGGAGAGTATCTGCAGGAAGGTTTGGCGCTATCTCCATGATGTTTCATTACTTGTTTAGGGGTATTACAAATACTGACGTGAGAGGAGTGACCTCAGGTAGTCTGCACCATGTGTGAAAGGTTTGTGAGAATAGGAGAAGTCGATTGCTTGACTTTAGGTGAAGAATAAGAGAGCCTCAAGTCATGCTGCCAATGTTCTCATGAGGGCAATATCATCTCTTTCTTGACAAGCCCTCCAAACTATCCATATTTGTCCAGTCTTTTTAAAATTCTAGCTGAAATGTCCTGTTGGTTTTTTTTACAGTTTTACAAAGCACTGCACGTTCTGACCTTAAGGTTGAATTTATTGCGACAACTACTCTTGGGAACATTTGCAACTGCCTTAAATTGCTTCCATCCATGAAAAAACATTCACACTGGAGAATAATGGGTTTCAGAAATGGCTTTTCTATGCATTCCATATTCATGGGCAGCAGCATTTGCTCCTCTGTTGTAACAAATGCATTTATTTTTTGAGATTGTGTTAACAACCACCTGTATGCTCTAGATCAACAAACTGCCAAGACTTTTCTTTTATAAATTGGCTGCACTTGCTGAGTGTTTAATGGAGTACATTTGACTAGAAGTTATGGGTGCTCCTTTTCCTCCTAATCAATGTGGAAAAATTAAGAAACAACTTGCACTTGAACTTTGAACATTTTTGTTGTAATCAAGTTAGAGTAGATATCTTAAGATTATGAACAACGTCTTAATGTAGTAAAAACTGTATATTTCTTACAATTAAAATTGTCTTTATAATTATCTGTGAAACTATCACACTATATCTAAGATTATAGAAAAACCAGCAAGACTAAGCATGAGTTGAATTTATTAACAATAAAACTAGGATTTCTTTAATGATCCTAAGATTAAATGAGTGAAAAAAAAACAGTTATGAGAACTAACAAGAAAAACAAACAATGCTAAACCTGCTCTACAACTACTGCTATAGATTTATGACCAGGAAAGTATTGTTTACATCATTTATTAAAAAGGATCAATGACCTGACATTTATTCAGTAATACCATTTGTCTCTCAGGTGTCTGAAGGTGTTTGAAGGTAAATTGTCTTCTGAGGGTGGTTTTGCTATCCAGTCTGGATAGCACTTAAACAAAGTTACGTTGGGCTCAAGTCCAGAGTGCAGAACCCACCCCCCCAATACTTTAGCATAGTAGTGTAATGTACAAGGCAAACAAAAATATGTATTGCAACCGAATGCCCTGGAGACATCGCAAGGATCTGCTTAACCAATCAAAAGCAAACTGAGGAAATCAAAATTTTTCAAAACCCCATTCACTATAATACAGAGAGACTGAAAACATCAAAATCAAAAACAGTCTGTCACTGTAGCCAAAATCCTTTCTCACAACTGTGACTGTTTTGACATTATGAGTTTCAAACTTACTGTGCTATATGAAGGACAGGTTCACGTTCAAGGTGTACCACATTAATGGTACACCTTAACATACTGCTTTGTTTCTTTGAAAGAAATGTACAAACCTGAAAAAAATGGCAGCGTTCTAAATTTTCAAAATAATATTTACATGAAACATACTTTGTAACATTGACAAGCAGTCAGACAACTCTTTTTTTGGGTATAATGAGTGTCAAGATCATAAAAACATGAATATTTCACAGATCCTGGGACACATGAGCAGAATAATAAGTGATATTGGTGAAATTTAAAATGCAGCAAAGGCATGTAGAAGTGACCTGGAGGCAAGCAGAGAAGGAGGAGAAAAGTTAGATCTAGGTGTCCATGTGACCTAAACTGTAACGACAGGCATGGAAATGTATTTTTTAATGTGGAGTTACTTCTCATATCTTTTGTCACCTCATTTTGAACCCTGTGACAAGTGTGACTTGACATGGTTTGATCACTTTTAATATTCTTAATTAACCAAGAACATTTTTTAAGAGTATTTTCAGCCATCAGTTGCCATGGAAAGCATGCATTTATATTCTCTAATTTACACGGTAAGAGGTCATAGATGAATGTATAAATAATCTTTACATTTACCAATAATTACATGCCTAGTTTATAAAAGGATTTATAATAGCTGATGCTGAGATACATTTTAAGCAAAGCTTGTGTCCAGCGAACCCCTAATTTATGATTTTAATTATAAGTTTCAGCTTACTAAGCATTTTTAGATTAACCACCACAAAACGATAAGAATTGAGCTGTGAAGTAAGACATTACATAAAGGGGATATATAGTGTGTCTGTTCTTTCCACTCTTATAGGTATATAGTAATCAGAGGAGCATTTAGAAGAAGAATATTCTGAAAGTGTCCCAGATTCAGCTGAGTCATCCAGTCACTGCTCCGATTGTAATTGTAGATTGTGAGCAAGTACTTTCAGAGGTTATGAAGATGCTTTGTTGCTGTTTTTCTAAGAGCCTTTTTCATGGGGAGCTTAGAGGTTTTTTCTTAAGTAGGATGAAAGCAAATAAACAGGTAGCCCTCAGAGTATTCACAAATGGGAGTGAGACAGAAAGAAAGCATTTTCTTGTCATTTCGCTTTTATTTTTGTGACTGAAATGAAGGAATATTAAGACTGCTTTGATTTGTATAGTAACTCTCTAAGGTTAGAAATCATGTAGGACTCGGTCATTTCCTTGGAATGGATTTTTGAAAACCAGATGAGATTTTTTTTTCTTTTTTTAAGAAAAAAAAAATGTTGCAGTCTCAAGCCAGAAACTGTTTGTGTTTTGTGCCCATTATGAGTACCTCGACTGTGGAGTAAATGAGCTTAACACACAGGGAGGAAGAAGAGAGAAAGCGCAGCTAACAGGAGGCATCGACTGGGTTTGTGTACAGGCACATGCTGATGTTCAAAGGAAAAACGTCCGCCTTCAGTTTCCCTGAATTAATTCAGCTTTGCGGCTCATTTTCTCCACTGCTTGGGTGTGTTGACAAGGAGCTACTGCTTTTCTCCTGCTCTGATAAAGCGGAAAAGCTTTATCTAGGCACAACCTGTGGTTCCATTTTTTTTTTTTTTTTTTTTGTGCACAGGTCTTGGCACTCCTTCAAGGCAAGTCTAGACCTTGTGCACAAACAGAAAGGAAATCCTCTTTGGTAGATTTGACAATTTGGCCTAATAAAACAGGGGACAAAATAGTGACGCATTTCCCTCCACCGTTGAGCACTGGATACTCTGTCAGTCAGTAATTAGGTCCGTCTAATATAGAAGGGGATGAGCGGAAATAAATGGGTGTAACGGCTGATATTTTTACCAGGCTTTGTCCGGATGTTAAAAGCTGCAGTAGCGTGAAGCTCGGAAGAAAAGCCTAAAGCAGGAAGAGGAGTTCTAGTGAATTGTAATTAGTCTGCTTCAGTTCTTCTCACATACTATTACCATCCTTATCTCAACCAAATGTTTCATCGCCTGCTGCTCTATTAGTCTTTTTTGGTGTCTTATCTGTCCTTGACTGATTTTCTCCTCCATCTTTCTTCTCCTTTCTTCCCTTCATTCCTCTTCTGATTGCAGTTTCTCTCCCTCTGGCCTCAAGTAAAGCCTGGATGACTGACAGGTCACACACAACTGCCCTGGACTTTACCTGAGCGTTGCGTGGCCGGAGTGCCATTGGTATAGGGGCCCAATTACAGAAGAGGTTCAATCAATAGCTCCTTTTTTCGGGCTGCCTCTTATTGGTATGACTAACTGACTGGCTCATGACCCGACAGGGAATGTGTGAGGTGATTGCGAGCAGCTTGGGAGCCTGAATAATTACGCTCTGCCTGGCAGTTGTATTCTGATAACACTGGTATTAGACACTGCCAGTTGAGCAGCCCCTCAACTGGCAGTCTGTGGAGTCTGTCAAAGTGGTCTTTTTTTTCTGTTATGCCAGATATATCAGAATTTTATATTATCTTGCTTGTTCATTCGGGCTTTTTGCTGTAAGTAGCTTCTGTTGTGCTTCAAAAATGCTTGATGTGACATGAACATCTGGATGTACATAATGGAATTTGCCTCTTTACTGTCATTCGCCATGACTGAGCAAGATCAGGAGAGACACGTCTTTTATTTTTTTCGCCTCTCTTCTTTGCTCTAGTAAAAATGCATTAGAGTCTCTGCTGACTTGAATCAATGCTGCCCTCCCTTGCCCTATCATCAAATTAAGACGTAAATGAATTAAAGCCAACTGGTAATAAGGAGGGGGATTGGGTGCGTTCTTTGTTTTTCTATCTCCTACCAAAAAAAAAATGGTGTGAAAAATCAAGGCTGCTCAGTTGCAGCACAACATTCAAGCCCTATGATTTTGGACTTGTACCTTGCCTCTGCAAGTGGTGTCCTTTCTCAGCTGACGAGATCAGAGTGGCTGTGTGTAATTGCAATCAGTACACTGAAGGGAAAGAAGGTGTAAGGAGTGGGGAAAGGCAAAGAAAGAGGTGGAAGACAGATGACAACCAAGAAGTGTGTGTTTGCATCTGTCTGTGTGTTTGAGAAGCAAAGAGCGAGACGGAGTGAAGGAGAGTGCAAGGCAGAAAGGGAGAGGAAGGCAAAGGGAGGGGAATTGATATAGTGAGAGAGAGGAAGAGAGAGAGAAGGAGAGAGGTGGTTACGTGGAACAGCACCCCACTTCATCAGGCAGCATACGGCAGACCTGCAGTGCGATCACAGAGCATGGCAATGGGGCTATGAGACTGAAGGGAGACAGAGAGCAAAGAGAGAAGAGAGCAAGAAGGAGGAGGGAAGTTGAAAAGAAGCGCTTGAGGGATTTGCTTGGATAAAAAAAGGTGGTGGTGGGGGGAAGATCTCCGGCTCCTTTCCCCATCGTGGATGTTGGAAGGACGTGGCAGCAGTGGCTTAGGTTCAGGCAGGTCTGTGGTCTTCTGTGTTGAAGTAGGAAGCGTCAGGACGTTATGCCCTGTGAGCAGTGAGGGGTAAGCGTGTGTGTGTGTATGTGTGTGTGCGTGTCTGTGTTCCTGCATCAGCGCTGCCTGCATGTCTCAGACAGGCGAGGGATGCAGCAAACCTCTGCCCTGAGCGCAGAGGCTGCTAGCTGCACCCAGCGAGGAGAAGAAGAACCAGGTGGGCTCAGAGCAAGAGTTGGGGGTTGCTTGCCTCAGGAAGGAGCTAGCTTAACATGCACTGTGGTCCCACGGTGGTCCTCACTTCAGAGGAAAGAGAGCTCACCTGCCGCGCGTCGGATCTGAACCTGGATTTACTGCTCTGAGAGATGAGAGGCACGTTCTCCGGCGGAGCCGCACTGACAGCTGCCCTCTGAAGGAGTGTGAATGCTGGGCTGCACTGGGAGCACTGGAACCACCAAGGACACTGAGCCTTTTGCCTCACAGTTCACCTGGAGCAAGGAATATATTCTTGGATTTGAATATGAATTGAGGAGTTTGGAATTGGCACACTGGAAATCCAGCCTTTCTTTGATGTGGGATTTACAATATGTCTACCTGATCATACTCTGTGTGGCTCTGGAGTAAGGACAAAACATGATTTGAACTTGAAATGTGTATTCCTTGATTTAAAAAAAAAACATGAGTACCTCAACAGTACTTTAGAATGCTGCTACCTTCATTGTATGAGCCTTGTCCTAGCTCTCAAAGAGGTTGACCAATGAAGCCATGGGACTCAGCCAGAGCTTTACAAGTATGTGGTGAAAACCCTGTCCACTTTATTTTGGGGGAGCTGAATATATCTGTGTTACACCCTAATGAGTTTAGCATATCTAAAATGACAGGGAGACTTTTAGGATAGTAATGTCTTATATATGCGAGAATGTCTGCTCCCTGGTTTCCCTCAGCCTAAAAATATCCAGCCTTTTTGTTTGTAGTGTTTAGTGTTGTTGTAGCTAGGGACTTGTTTTTTTCACACTTGCTCATCTGCTCACTAAAGGAATGTTTAGTGAACCTTGTTTGTTGGAAGATGCCACAGTGGCTCAGTCCAACATAATTAGGAAAACCAAGCTTCAGATGGGCTTCCTTCCCCGCACTACCTCCACCCTCGCCTGACATCTCCAGTCAGTCACACTAGCACCAGTAGGTGTAATATTAGTCTAGTCAGTCCCCTGCAGGGGCCGGAGCATTGCCTGCAACACTTCCTGTCCTCCTCCTGTGTTTGAGTTTAGCCGGGCCCCCGCCTGTACCGTGGGAGCCCCTCATCCCCAGCCTGGACCCTGTCTCCCCCCTACCCTGCCTGGTGCTGCTGCACTCGGCTCTGCCTCTGCTGGCCGAGGATGATGTGGCAATGCCATGTGTCGTCCTCTGAGTGCCGCTGCTACCGGCTGAACGGCTTCTCCCTGCTGAAGCGCTTCCCTCTCTCGGCAGATGGGGCCTGTGGTAAAGCCCTGGACCAGCCGGTCGGAGAGTGGCTGGAGCACGTGGGGCTGCCGCAGTACGAGAGCAAGTTTCTGCTCAATGGCTTTGATGACCTACGATTCATGGTGAGTCACCTGCAGCATGTCATCTCAAGAATCAGTTCCACTTTATTTCACCCCCGTCTCCGCCTGTGTCGGTCCGGCTTCATCTATCTTTTCATGTCACCACTTCTCTCCACTCGTCTCCCATAAGCGCCATCCCCTCCATTGCTCTTTCTTTCCCACCTCTTTCACACAGCCTTATAACACTTTTGGCCCTCTCCTTATTACCTCATCTTCAACTCTGCAATGCATGACCCAGGAGAGACTTATGTCTCCCCGGTGAATCCTTTCAAAGAGTGTGGATTGCCACCAGTCAAAACGACAAATAACAAGAAACTATTAGTAATTTTTCTCCCAAACTTCCAATCAAGCAACATTTGCCTGAAGAAACTTACTGGTGTTGAACCATATTATTAAAAATTATATTGACTATTATATTGGTCATTGGTGGCTTAGTTTGAAAAACACACAACATTTATCAAAATTAAAATCTTACTATCTTACAATTATTTTTTTTCAGAATTTCATGTTTTTAATGAAGCTGAATTTTTCCATGCCAGGATGTAGCCAGATATTCTAATTATTTGGTTGGCATACAGCTGGTTCAAGTATTTACTAATAAAATAAAAGACACACAACCTCTTTAGTTACTGTCTGTCATTAAATGTAACCCTTTAAACTGAGACAGACAATTTGTTGGGAAATTGTTTACTTTTTTAAATTCAAAAGATTATTTAAACTGGGAACACAATGTTTTAATAAATTTGAGAGGTCACAAATTGTGTCGGTATGGCTTCATGAGTTTCAGTCACACCATTTGAATTAAATTGAGTAACACCTGTGAGTTTACTTTAAAGCAGCACATTACTATATAGCTACCTTAAATAACAAAATCAAGAAATATCAGCAAAAGAATCAGGAAAAGATTGTTGTTTGTCATTGGATAAAATTTCCAGATGCCTGAAGTTACTATGTTCATCTGTTCAAATAATTATATGCCAAACTAAACAGCTTGGGAATGGCCAGTCATTATGAGGATGGATATAGGGTTTGTGTCTAAGAGATTAATGTGTTTCGGTAAGAAATGTGCTCATTAACTCCAGAACAGAAGTAAAACCTTGTGAAGAAGTCATCCCTCCAAAATTAGAAAAAGGTTTAGAAATGCACTGAGGGCCACATAGCCTTTCTTCAGCTCTGTCAGGAGAATTTGTTCAAGATTTTAGATATTTTGAGAGGCTTTGAGAAAGGACACCACAAAATCTGAAAAAGCAATTTTACAAAATTTTTTAAAATATATGTTCACTAATGAATCTCAAGAAAGTTAAAAACTGTTTTCATCAAAATATTTTCTTAGTCATTCGCATTTAGCAAATGAAAATAATTATCTTCACGAATCCCAAAAATAAAAGCAGACTACAATATGATGTCAGACAGTGAAAGATGTGGTTACAGGAATTTCTAGATAATGTATGTCAAATGTGTCTCCTAATGTATGCTGTGTCCACATTTAAATAACAAAATGTCACCTGTTTAAAAAACTGAATCAGCAGAAAGAGTCTCATCTCTCTGACAGACAGGAAGCTGCAGCGGCCAACATAATCTCTCTGTCACTATTCTAATACTGAGGACCTCATATAAAGGCTGGAAAAGCTTCTGGGTAGAGCGTATGGAAAAACCCATATATTTAAGATTAAATCCACTTAAAAAAAAAGTCTCCACACAATATTTAAGTTTTAGTGTGTTAGTGAATTTCTTGAAATATGCTTTTACATTGCAAAAGTTGTAAGGGATGCAGAATGTGGCAAAGCATGTTTTTGTTGTTGTTCATGATGACTTAGTAAATTGTTTGGACCACAACTCTAATTCAATTAATTGGACAGCCCTTTATCTCATTTGCAAATGATCAGAGCAAACAGTTTTGTATGGTTGCACACCTACTCTTACCAATACATCCTCTTTTAATTTTCTCCAATTCACTTGCAATAACTGCAAAAATATATTGAAATATTGCAGCGGCATACTTTATTTGTGCATTTATAGGTGCCTATTTATAATATAACTTAAATACACATGTTCAAAAGCTGATTTTTGATCCCATTCATACAGTGTGTAAATAAAAGATTATACCACAATTTTTTTAGCGTGATGGTTCAAAAAGTAAATCATATAATTTTTTAAACGTTGACACATTTTCCACACATGACTTACTTTTTTTCCCCCATCAGAACTATGTCAGATTACATTTAAATAATTTCACTCAACTGTAACTCAAAGGACATCCACAATCTGACTAAAAGCCTTATCATGTTTCCTGTAAAGAACATAGCGTTGAAAGCTGATAGCTCTGTCATCAGGGACTGCAGAAAACCAAATTAGACTCTCCTTCCAACGGTCATGTTTCTCAGAAAACATGGCTATGTGTTGTAAAAAAGTCGGCCCAGAGGGATAAATGTGGACATTTCTCAGACCACAGAGCTGTGTTAGGACCAGAGGTTATATGTTTCATTTGTTTGTCACAGCTGAGCTCTGTTAACTGAGATCAGAAAGCTCAAAAAGAAAAAAAAAAATGTTCTGCTCGAGTACTCTTGCTTTCTGGAGAAGATCTGATCAAAGTACAATGGAGGTGTTTAAGAAAATGTGATCACTCCAACTTTGAAATGTGGTGCTGACCTGATCATAAGATCCACAAAGGTTCATGTGACAATAAGGCTGCATGAGTCTTACAGGTCTAGATATGTTGAATTAAAGGATTACATCAGGAATGAGCTGTGTGGCATAAAGCTGACTCAATGAATAACTCATCTATTAATCTGCTTAATCCTCTTACACTGATATTGCTGCATACAGTACATCATGTCAAAAATACATTTAAGGTAATTTCATTTTTTGTCCTTTTAACTTTTCTGATGAAACCTGTCTGAATTCATGCATCAGAATGGATCTATGTTGATATTTTGTTAGGGTTAGGCCTGCACGATTCTAGAAAATTTACCATGTGCTAACGCTATATGTAGACTTTTTGCAGCATAATATTAAAAACGTTATACTATTGTGATAACAATGTTGCTTGAAAAAAATAATTGTTTCTTGTTTGATAAAGGACAAGCTGGATAAAACTGAAATATGAAAACAATTGTATTGGTTTATGGTCACACATTCAGAATACATAAAATAAAGGCTTGCAAAAATATTTAAACAGTGAAATCTTTTTAAATTTCATAATGTGTCAGCTTGCATGACATCATTGCCCTGACTCTGTACACTGTTCTCTGCCAGGCTGCTGCTAAACTTCTTTAATTTGACCAAGTTTGCTGTTTTCTCATTTACTGCACTGTTGTTCCTGTAACTCCAGCAACTTTCACAAACAGTTTTCCAACAACTCCATTTGTAAATCACCAATCAAGTCAGTTCTGAGAAGATCATGAAGCCAGAATGAGCCGCATTGAGTGGAACACAGCAGTGGAATGCTATGCAAAATCTTGCTGACATCTCCCCCTGACCTTTTTTTCTTACCATTTTGATGGATGAATGCAGAGTAGAGATCCTCTTGTTAGCTGAGTTCTTTCCATGTTTGTGAAATGAATTACAGTTGATCCTCTTTGTAGTATTTATGCACACAAACCATACATCATCACACCCAGGAGAGGCAACGCAGACTCATGGTACAGTTCCTCCCTCACTTGCCAGCTGAGGTGGCTTCAAAACCAATGTCAGCTGACAAAACATCCACTAACATAGATGATGTACATGTCCTAGATATTTTCCAGGCTATACCTGCAGGCACTGTGGAAGAAAGTAAAGTCATAAGTGACAGAAGGTCTCAAAGTTTTTGCATAAATTACAGCTCTATTCATTCTCTTCTCTACTTTATGAATACAGAATCTTAATGGATTTTGGAACATTGTCTCACAGGATGCAAGGCCTATGGGGTTTTAATGGCTAACTTAAACAGCACTTAAACAAAAACAGCTTGGGTTGTGGTTGTCACTGTCTTCATCTGGAAACCACGATGTTTCATAGAGTGTAGCGCTGAGTTTTCAAAAATAATGAGCTGATATTAAGGTTATAGTTGACAAGCCAGAAGCAGCATTGCTGTCAGCCATCATGGTGCATAGGGCTGGTGCTACAACCTACACTAGGACTGTTGGTGAATGAGACAAAGAGAAAGTTGTGATGACGTGGGGAGTGGGAGCTCTGTTTCCTTATTGACCAGATATTTTCAGCGTAGTCAGGAGTTTGATGGATATCTTGTAGAAATGAACTGTGCACTGTATTGCCCAGAACACCACAGTCACAGTTTAATCAAACTCAACATTGACTGCAGTGCAATGCCTAGGGCCAGGGATGTCCATGCATTTTGCAAGATACACTTCAAAATTTTTGCTATGCAATACATGGAAAAGATCTGAGTTTCAGTTCAGAGTGCTGTGGCATTGGTCTTATTTTTGCTCTGAAAGTCACAAAAGATGTGGTCATTGAGTTTGTAGTTAAGTTTTAAGTGTGGAAAAGGCTACTTGAAACTTTTAGATACGTGTGTGAGAAACAGTCTGACAACAACCTGCTCTCCAGGGGAATTATTGTGACTTGCTGCTGCAGTAAGTAACAAAGGTTTATCCTCACCGTCTCTGGTGACAGCCATTCATTCTTGAATAAAATGTTGTTTATTGCTGCCATTTTAAGCCATTCTCAATTCAAGTTCCTCAATGTACATTGGAATATAATGGGTCACTACTTATGGCAGTGTTAGAAGTCCTTTTTGATGTTCTGCAATAAATTCAGAATTAAATTATACTGCTGTACTCAAGATGCCTGCTGAAAGTAACTGTTGGGCACATGTCATTCTGTTTCAAAATAAATAAACCCTCAGTCTCTTAGGCTGCAGGTGAAGTTGCAATAGCTGCACAAAAAAAATCTAATATTACTGACAAAGGAACTATAACAAAACTACCTGTCACATCACAACCAATACACGAGAATGGTCAGACTAAGATAGTCTGTTTATCTGAATTTATTTAGATAAATAACCACGAGTCAACAACCAAAAGTTGAACATAACTTTTGGTAAAAAAATGACCATTATTTAAGGAAGGTGACAAAATGTTGCACTGGCTCTCAATTATGCATAAAGAATGGTTGTCCTACATGAGCTATGCAGAAATATTTATACCCTTAAAAAATATTTTTTTTTATTTTCACAATAAGTTTGTCTTAAACCTGTACCATTATCCACAGTTGTTGTGAAGAACCCCGACAAATCTTCCTTTTTGATAGGGTTTTAGAGTCAGTGTTTGTGGAAACTCCCAAGGCAATAATGTGATGGGGACTGTAGGTCATCAGGCATTCAGATGTTCTTGTTCATGTCACAACTAATGTGTCTGCTGATCTTGATGCATCAAAGAGATAAATCATTAGGCTCACCAGGCAAATTACACATGCAACCCCCAGAAAGACGTGGAGGTTGCAAACAAGAGAAAGGTCAGAGTAGTCAGGCTAGTGTTGTGAATGTTTAATATTGTGCCCTTTAAGGTGGTGCCAGACTTGTTTCAGATGTGATCGATCAGAACTCATTTGTGGGACTCTTTGTAAAGGTGGTTAGGCTGATCAGCAGATGGCAGCACTATGGCTCATTTTCTATTCAGCTGTGATTGGATTCCTTTTCCTAGAGGACAACCATAAAGTAATCCATTGCCAAGGCCACTTTGCTGTTCTGGTGTTTTAAAGAAAGTGGTTTAGGATAGCATAAATTATTTAAATCTTCCTTTTATATCAATCAGTCAATCAGATTTAATTCACCTAACAATGTTTATCCACTTAAATGTACTCCAAAGTCCTAAAATAAGTAGATAAAGTAGAAATTGTTAACAACCAGACATCTTATGAGATATAAAACTGGGAAAACACTCAAAGCTAGATATTTACATCAAATCAAGCTACATTTTCCATTAGCAGATGGAAATATATTTACATACATTATCATAATATATTACAATATTAAGGTATTAATATACATTTTGAGTGTCCTTCCACATATTTCTCAAAATAGTTTGCTGAAACTGCACCCCATTCCTCTTGGCAGAACTGGTGTAACACAATCATATTGTTAGGCCTCACACACCTTTCAAGCTCTGTGCACAAATTTTCTGTGGAAGTGTGATTTTGTGGTTGCACCACTTCAAATTATTGTCTTATTTTTCCATAAGCTACTTTGTAAGTACCTCGGTGGTGTTCTTAGGGTTATTATCCATTTGGAATATCTACATTTAGATATCCAAAAGCTTGAACAACTTGGCTGATGTCTTAAGATGTGTAATCTTCTTTGCTTATTATTTCAACTATTTTAGGAAATTCACAGTTTGTTTTTTTATATGCAGTGAAACACCCACACAACATGTTGCTACCATCCTCACACTACCTTATTGCTCTAATTATTTTGGAAACTAGCAAATGAAATAAGTATGATAATTCTTATTCACCTGAAACAAAAACATTTAGCCTGGTTTAATTTCAGACATTAAAAACAAAGTGTTTGTTGGCTTTAATCACACAAACAATGTTATAAATGTTAAACCATTTTAATATTGTCCCAAAAGTTATTTGTATGTCCTTATTACATTTTTCACTTATGGATGTCCTTTTTTGACATATTGTGAATCTTTGATTTCTTATGTTAACAGCAACATAAGAAATCAAAGCTGTGAAAGTTGATGAGGGTGGTACACAAAACGTCTGGAATGACTCAAACCGCCTCAATGTGCTGGACACAAGAAATCAGTTGAAACAAATGAGCTAACAAAAAATTTAAATTGGAAGATAGTGAAAATGAAGTGTTTTGTTCTCTTTCTTATCTTAAACAGCTTGAGATAGAAACTGGAGATGTTTGCAGCATTCATTCTCCTTTTTGGTTGTCACTTCCAAGCAACAGTAGAACAAACACCAGCTTTTTCAGCAAACTCTCATCTGTTTTGTCCTTCTCAAGTTCATTTACCCTTGTCATATCTGCATTGCCTTGTATTTCAATGTGCTCTGGGTCAAATTGAAAGCATTGAATGCTACTCAATGTACAGAAATTACTGTTCTGCCGAGATGACAGTCCTCACATGTGTAATCTCCCAGGATGACTTGCAGCATAAAAGACATGGTGATGTCCGTGTGGCAATATTTTATTTAAATTTATAAAATCTAAACAGTCCATAGTTTTTTTTTGCGTACTGTTTTTACAAATGAAAATCTTTGAGTCTGTCTCTCTAGAAAAGTCATTAATATACTTTTACAGTAATTTCTTTGCCAAAGAGCGTTTGTAACAATATTTTAAATTTTTTTATTCAAACCATATTGTTTTAAAAAAAAAAAATTTTTACAGAAGCTAGTTAGGTGTCTCATCATCATTGGGTTTATGTTTGCAATGAACTCAAAAACAGTAAGGAATGAACATGTATGGTAAATTATTTGCTTACTTATTCCAACATTTATCATCATTGTCACACCTCATGCGCTTGCTTAATATTGTATAACCTTACTGGAAACATCTGGTTAATAAAACTAATAATTCTTTTAAAAGCCAGTAAGACCACCTTCGCTCCTTGGTCCTCATCTCCATTTTTTAAACTGAAGTTCATCACTTTAATGTTGCTATTTTTGTCTTAATTACACCAGAAACCAGTGAATTTTCTGGTTCTGGTGCGACAGGAAGCGCCGCATATATGCTTCACTGCACCTACAAACCACTTACGTCACAGCTGAAGATACTGTACTGCAAAGTTCCCCTTACTCTCCTTTTAGAGCAAAGGGGCTGGCGCTGGCATGGTTCAGCGAGGCGCTCTGCACGTGATGACTGCTGTGAGATGCGGCTTTTGAGGGATCATAAATTATGAACAGCTGTGCGCCCATTCTCATAATTTTTACACGACGATTATCATTTTGTGCTCTTTTCATGCCACCAGAAATAGGGTGGTAGTGGTTTTCCTTCTCTCTGCCTTTATGCCTGCACGTTTCCTTTCAGACTAAAAATCCACATAATTTCTTTCCTTTTTTTCTCATATGCTTTGCTGCTCTAATTTCCAAACAAATGTGGCAGTGAGGCATATTGTCTTGTGTGGAGCATCTAGAAGTTGCCCATCATGCATACACATTGCATCTTTACCATATTAATATTGCATCAGTCTCTGCAGCCCTTTCTGTTTCGGTTGGCATAATGTGGAGCTGAACTTACATATTATAACACATAAACCTATTTTTCCTCATCAGTTCACCATTAACGCCCACTGCATCTTGAAATAGGAACTTTTTTTTTAACAATTGGGGCAGACCAATAGAGCAATTCTAATTCACTGCTGCTTTAACCGAATGCATTTAGTGAGATGAAGGACTTCTTCCATGGCTACATCTGCAAGTCGTATCCGATTAAATCAAGCCACCATAGCTCATAAGCTACGTAAGAACTGAAGCATACATTCCCGTCACATGTTTCAAATGCAGCATGAAATAATAAGTTTGCAGAGTCCTGGAGGCATCATCAAACTTCAAACTGTGTTAATAAAAGTGGAGAATCTATTTTGGGCCTCCCTCACGTCCGACACAACTTCATTTTGACCTTTTATTACAGCGATCAGTGAGTAATCTCCTGACTGCACCCTGATGTTGCTGCATCGTGTGTTCAGAAATCAATCCAGTGAAAGCTGTTTGAGTAAAGACAACAGGGCATTTTAACATTCTTTCTCATTTTCCTGGTTATCTTTGTGACTTTCTTCCTGCTTAAAAAAGGAAAAGAAGACAAAACCTCTGGAGCTGAGCGTGAACATCTCCACGAATTAAACAAGAATCTGCTTTTTAGACATGATTTCAGAGATTAGAATAGTGTTATAATTGTAGATTGTTTCCATGGTTTTAATCAAACAGTAATTGTGAAAGATATAGTGAAATAATGGATGTAATTTTGGGACACACACCAGAACAGCAACCAAGGCGTCCTGTAGATGCTGCTGCTTCGGAGGCTTTGTTCTCTCTGAGTCGCACCAGATTAGATTGATTACTTCTGGCATGCACATTTTATTTGACTTCATTGTCCTCCCATTCTGTTGTTAGTGCTTGTGTCAGAGATGTGCATATTCTGTGTTTGTGTACATGTACAGCTGCAATTAGCTGTTCTCAGGAAGCGTGTAGAACAAGTCGTAACAGTTTTATTGATTGGATATTTTCAGAGCAAATATTTTATGTTCATATGAGTGAGAAGCAGACATACTATGTGATATGTAGGCCATTTTAGCTCAAAGCTGTAGCTGAAAGAAGTTTTTTGCATGGATGTTCCTGATGATTTCATCCATGTGGTTGTGCATGTATGTTGATGAGTTTATTTGCATGTTTCTCATGTTTGTGCACATGCAGGGAAGTAACGTGATGGAGGACCAAGATTTAAGAGACATGGGGATCACTGACCCGGGGCACAGAAAGAAAATCCTCCATGCAGCACGTGGCTTTCCCAAGGTACTTAACACCATATCCAGAAAAATAGACTCCAGTACTTAAACAGCAGATGACAATTAGCCAAAATGAAATGAGATAAAGGTTTTTATTGTAAATGGATGTGAATGTGATATTGTTCCCTTCAGGATTGGTTGGAAGTTATAATCTGTACATAACAGTAATCAGTTTTAGGCCAACAACTAAGCCACAAATGAAGCTGAATGGAATGGATTTGTTTTGCTTTATTACAACATAATTCAAAAGAGAATTGCAATATTAATACATAAATATAGATTTTTGTGCAGAATTCGGATTTCCACTGCTCTCATTTTTTATTCATTACTTATAATCTTAAACTCACAAAATAATTAAATTTCCTTATAATCTACTTTAGGAGATTCTGTTTATTGGATGGAGAGATGAATGAGTTCACAAGTGGATGCGGAGATGACGAGGGAATGAATACCATTTTTTTACAACATAAAATTATGAGCTATTTGTTATTGGTCAGATTTGTATTTTTTTTTCTGAACAAGACATAAAAATTCAATTGGTTTGCAAATTGTTGTGACAAATTCAGAGGTCTGCAACTTTTTCCATTCAAAGAACCACTTTTTCCCCCAGTACTACAAAATAAAATTCACTTGGAGCTGCAAAAAACAACAACAAAAAAAGCCAATCTGATTTTACAGAAGAAGAAAAAACTATTTTGTAGAATGAGATGAGATTTTCTGTAAATATGGAAAATTAAGAAATATAGGTAGGACAGTTTGAAGTTTGCTATGTTTTAAAAGATTTAAGAGGCATTTAGTTTTAGATATTAAAAGCAGTTTTTGCATAATAACTAATGGAAAAACTCATTAAATGACAATTTCTTGCTGCATCCATAATCAAAATGTTTCTCTTTTGGTTTCGTAAGAGCCACATTGGACTGGCCAAACAGCCACGTGTGCCTCTGGAAGCCCAGGTTGCAGATCCCTGGACTAGTTGAAATTGTCTATAGCTTGAGACTCTATGTTAGGATAACATGGCAGAACTCCGCATTGCAAGTGGAACTCACAATGGAAAATTGGATTTAGCACTGCTTCCTCTTTTACTCCTAATTTGACATTAACACCACAGCACTTGCTCTCCTGCACCTGTCTTTCTGTCTGTAGGTGAAACCACTGGGTTGTGATGGCAGCACATCTTTAGCCTCTTGGTTGGACGGCCTTGGCCTGCATGAGTATCTTCCCAACTTTCTCTCTAATGGCTACCGAACCCTGGAGTGTGTGAAGAACTTGTGGGAGCTGGAAATTGTCAATGTAAGAGTTGTTTAAGTATTTAACTTTAAATGTTTAACATGTTATAATGAGCTGATATAAAATTTCACTTTTGTGGCAATGAAAACTTTCTCACTGAAAGATAAATGTCATGGATTCTGTTTGAGGTTAAGAGGCATTTAATACTCGAGTGCAGAAGAATCAAAAAAAGTGTTTCAAAGATAGAAAAAATGTCCATAAAACTACAGCTCAGATGCTTTAGAAATCATAGAGTAATTAGTAGATAAATAACAGATAATATAAATTAAGTTGAAAAGTGGGTGAGGGATGACAGAAAAAGTCTAATTTGGTTTGGTCCTTAGGGAAATATTGTGACATTTTATGGTAATCAGTGATTATAAAGGAGGACTAATTTGTTATGGTCTTAAAACGGATGATCCAACTGAGAGATGCATGTTGCATTTTCAATCAAGCAGTTCTTAAAATTGCACACATTTTGTGAGTGGAGCTTTCTTTTAATTAATTCTCAAAAGCAGTTTGAATTTGTTTTTGTAAATGTCATACATCATCTGTGACCTTTTATTAATTTGATCCTTGTTTATTGCTTGACTTGAGTCAAGTTTATTTGAATAGCACATTTCAGCAACCAAGCATCTTAAGGTGCTTTATATGACAAAAGCATAACACAATTGACAAACAAAAGCTGAAAGATACTATTCCAGTGACAGAATAGAGAGAAGTAATGAAAAGTTGTATTTCAGTCCAGAATTAATCAATGTTCTATTTATTATTAATCAAAGGAAAGTCTAAGCAAATAGCTTTTAGCCTTGTTTCAGCAGTTTTGCAGTTTTTTGGAAGTTTATTTCAAATTAGCACAGTATAATAACCATTGCTTAAATTCCTCATTTAATTTTGTTTGGTCTTGGACATTCTAACACATAGTTGTACTTTGATCAAAACCTCTCTGATGTAACTCTGACTTCATGTTCAGTGCTGAATCTAATCCTCCAACTCAGTCTCAGGTCTTTCGACTGGACTATTGTGCTTGTTGAAAGAAAATTAACTACCACAGCATAATCCTGCCTACACCATTTTGCATGGTGGACCTGATGTGTTCAGGGTGTCAGTTACCTGCCAAACAAAATGTCTCTTGGCTGCTTCTCTGATTAACACTCTCCTTGCTCAGCCAGTCAGCTTAGGTTGATGACTAAGGTGTAAAGCACTCATTCTGTATTTGGATGATTTATTGATCAGTTCTCTATGTGTTCAAACTTTGCATATTGTTTTATAAGGTGAAAAAGACAGTGTGCAAAAGATTAGGTGTTACAGATCCCAGTCTTATGGTTTATTTGTAATATTTTCACATTTTTGAATTTCATGGATGTTCACTATTCTTGATGGAATGGCTTTTTCTCTGCTGGAAATGTATTAGGTTTCAACCCTTTGGTAATCACCAGTGCGGCTTCTAACATTTAGCTCGCCATTATGTGAAATGTTATTTATTTTAGCATTTTGAATGTTAGCTAGTGCCATGTTTATTGAGGACATCCAGGCAAACAAAGTAGATGAGCCATCGTTGTCTGCTATGTAAGTGGATAATAGCACAGAAGCTGGGAATGAATGTGCTTGAAGATATTATATTATGTTTGCAGCGTCTGGTGGCAGTAAACAAAACGGCAGCGCTGGTAAAATTGCAGAAAGAGCTGCAGTAGCAGCAGCCAAGCTTGCTGCCAATGCAGTGGGAGAGGGACGGTGTCCAGCAGACTGCGATGAAGAAAGATGGGGGTCTGAGTGCATGGCACATTACTCTCCGTGTGCAGAGCAGCAAGAACTGCCTGTGTGCATCTTGGCAGAACGCTCTTTGCCCATTACATTTTCTACATCCTCTTCAGCATTTTAGAGCGAATAGCATGGAGCTTCTTGATCTACGATCCAGGTCACGTTTCCAAAATCATTCCAAGGTTCTTTTCACTATAGTTGTGTTCACTGGTTTTGCTGGAGTTTTTGTGGAGAATAAAAACATAACCAGAAATAAATGCACAGACTATTTGCTTTTTCTGCTTCTGAATAATAGAACCGATCAGACAAAGTATTACATGAGCTTGTTCTGGAAGGTTTTGTACCAGGAACATAATTGCAAATGTAACATTAATCACTCAACATCCACCCTTTGAGGATGAGCATGAATGTTAATAGCCAATTATGCAAATATATAGTATTAAGGTGATGAGATTTTACTACATGAAATGAATATTTGCTTCATTCTGCAAGACTTTTAGACTTATGAGCAGATGTGGTTCTTGTAAATGGTTAAGCAGAGATTGTACTCATAAAGATGTTATTCTGTTGTGCAATTTTCCGTATGGCAGTCGGAAAATACAGCTGCACTGTCTATATTTTTCTGGATAATGTTCTGTAGGTCTGAAAGGTCCTCTCTGTTTTCGTAGCTCATCATCCAAATATGGCTTGTGAATTTTAGAGCATCCCAAGAAGGACGCAGTGTTGTACTTTAGGCTCATGGCAAAACAGATTGAAGCTGAATTATTGACGAGAGTCGCTTCTGTTTGCCAGCCAGTGAAGAGTACATAGCATCAAGTCCGCCAGTGTGTTTTTATATTTATCTCACTTAGCTTTGTCTGGATAAATTGTTCTGTATGAGATATTCATATGACTGTGAAATGGAAATTCAGAGTGATACTGTTCCATCCAGGTCATTAAGGTCGGGCCCTTAGGCCACAGGAAGAGGATCATTGCATCTCTAGCAGAGAGACCCTATGAAGAAGCTCCCTCTAAATCCCGTCGGCTGTCCCCAATTATGGTAAGACTGATTATGAAGTTTACATACTTAACACTTAATCTGCCCTCTTTGTTATTTTGGTGCTGCCTTGTGGGAATTAACTTCCAACAAAAAGCGATGTTTGGCAGGGAGAATTGTAAATACATCAATGTTTTCTCAGTAAATATAAATCTGATGAAGTTGTTGACATGGTAATTATATCAGATGTTGGTAGCAACAAAAATAAAAAGAAATCAACATAGATAAGTCCACAAATGATGTGTTGTAAGTACCCTGAATATCCAACTGAAATACGTTACATACTAGTAAAGATGCATTTTTTTTTTTTTGCAATGACACATTCTAATTGGATCAAGTATTTGCCTGGTACAATTTTGACCTTTTTTTCCACTCAGTCTGTCTTGAAAAATCTTGAAGGTTCTGTGGACATCGTCTCAGACATTCAGGTTTTTTCCCATAAATTTTCAGTTTGTTTTAATTCAGATTATGGAGCTATCTATACAGATTTATTTGCCTTCTTTAAAACTACCTTAGAGCTAATTGACTGTTTAATTGACTGGATTCCCCAAGTTAAAAATACACTCTGGTTTCTTATTCAGAGTTTTGTCCAGACTGTCCTGGACTAGGCCAGCTGCTATTGACTGCAACTGGTATAGAGAATAATTGCTTTTTAAATATTGTTACATTTTAACTATTTGACTTTCTAAGCTGAAGGTGAATTTCCAGGCTTATTCTCTGGTCTGGCATTTTAAAAATCACAAGTCATTAAAACTACAAATAGAAACAAAACTATTTAAAAAAGCAAGAAAACAAAACATAAGAGAAAAGTGCATAAGCATAAAATTGGCACAAAACAATAACAGCAGAGAATAATAGAGAGAGAAGAAAATTGCTGCTCAGTATCGGCTGTGCGAGCAGCAGTGTTCACAGCTTTGTCTCTGTTTAAGCCACTGTTTCACTTGGGAGCTCAAAGCTCAACTTTGTTATTACTGGTGGCAAGCTAGTCTAAATATGGAATCCTTTGCATGAAAAACAACAAAGTTCAAAAAATGTTTTTCATCTTTTGAAACTCTCAATGAAAGTCTTAGTTATGTTGATGCTATTTTCTGTTGTTTCCTTGACAACTATAGGCTGTAAAACTGAGTCATTATTACCAAGTCCCAAGACAAAGGGCAGGAGAGAAAAGGCAATAACTGTATGAGCCAGATTATAAAAAAACAAGTGCTGATCAGAGATGAAAAAGCTTGTAGAAGTAGTCTTCTACTGACGATGTTGGTGAGCATTAGCAGTTACATCATGCAGTGCTGCAAGGCTTGTTGAAAAATAAACAACATAAGGAATGCTGTTTTCACTTTGATTCTTGCCTAAAATTATGAGTCTGTTTTCTGAGCACAACTATCTTATATATATATAAGATAGTTGTGCTCAGACAAGCAGATTATCAGAATGTTGAGTGGAAGGAAAAACCGTGTCAGAAAAAGATTCACAAGCAAAATTGATAATATCGGTCTTGAGAGGCTTTTAAATCAAAACAGACTCATAATTTTAGGCAAGAATATATATATATATAATATATATATATATATATATATATATATATATATATATATATATATATATATATATATATATATATATAAAGAATCCAATTTTTTTTAGCATTGAGGCCAATTTTCTAATATTCTGATATTTTGGTTTTAATTTTAATAATAAAAATTAGCATAACAAAATATTTGACAATTACCACAATGTGTCCAACAAAGCTTTCTCAAACAGAATTGCTGAAATATATTAACCTTTTGATTGAATTATTGAAAAGCACCTTTGATCGTGATTTTCAGTTGCTTTTGGGATCAGGCAGGAAGAATTGAGACCTGACTGATTCACATTCATCTTCTGGCATTGTGTAGCTGAGAAAATAGTGACTGTGTCGACATCTATTGTCTGCATGAGTGACGGGGTAAAACATTTTATGTCCTAGCATTTTCTTAAACTGCGAGAAAGGTTTGTGAACTAGCATCGCATGGTGAAAATCTGCTCTTCAATGAGTATTTCCCAAGAAGCTATTAGATTAACTCCACCAGAATGAATTCCTGATTCTCCAAAACATGATTAAACTAAGGTTTTTCAGCTGCCAGTAAGATATTGACACCCCATAACAGCTATACCAACCCTCACTGAAAAAGCTGTGACTTTTTGATTATTTAGACTGCAATGCTTTTAGTGGATTCTTTAATAAGGTACAGAAATTGCCTTTCTGTAATTTAGTTGGTACAGTAGATATCTAATGTGCATAATTAGAAAGGTTGTTCAATTTATGTGCTCTGTGTAAACTGTAACTTTATATTTTCTTTAGATAGCATTTATGTTTATATATTTTGGATAAGTGGAGATTAAACCCCAATAGAGCAGAGCGATATGGACTAAAAGTTTTATTTTGTTCTGATAACATTAAAGTGATGATAAGAACTGCTTTTTAAAAGTAACTGTCTGACTTCTAATGTGTCACAACAATAACAACCCCACAAACCCAATATAAAATTAACCAGTATCGTGTGGTCAACAGTTTTATTTTTAATTCATTACAGAGAAAGATGTTTGAAATGTGGCAGTGATTCAGTACCACTTAAATACAAAGGCTGATTTATCAGGCAGATTAAACTGTGCTAAAATAAACCAAGAGAGCAATCTATTGTCAAAAGATTGGATGGAGACCAGGAAAACCAGTGCTGTCAAAACATTAATCTACTTGGTGTGCCTCTGTGTGTTTTTCTGTGACAGTTCCATGACCTCCTATCCCAGACCACTTCGCCCCTCAGTCAGTTGGACCCCTACACCAGTCGCTCCATGGACATGCTCCTCCCCCTGACCGAGTCGGACCGGAGGCGAAGAGCAGTGGATCAAGACTGCAGTATTTCGCTGCGATCCTACAATGAGAGGCCGCGTTCTGTAGTGAGTTTCAACTTCTTTCACTTGGATCTCAGTTAAAGAAGCCACCCACTGCAGCTTATTATGAGAGAATTAATGGTTTAAAAAATGGAGGAGGATTCAGCATATTTGCTTTCTTCCCAGAGGCAGAACTGCTATGTTCATCCACAGTTTAATATAGCAGTATAATTAGTGGGCAGATTTTAATTCCATAGAGCCTTGCTCTAAATAATGCATCTCTGTCCATTTATGTGCAATTATCAAATGAATTTTCTACAAAACATCTTAACGTGGTAAGTTCAAAATAAATTAAATGGTAACCTTTCAAATCCTACTGCTGTGTCCTATGGTTATAAAAACTGCAACTCATTGCATTTATTAATATTTTTCATGTTCAGCAGACTAAACTCAGTCAATTGTCCCTCAAGGCTTAAATAATTGGATGAATTTATTCAAGCACAGATAAAAAGGCTGACACAAAGGTTGGCAAGATTTTGGTCCAACCCCTTGCTAAATTTATTATTAAAAATACATAAAAAAGGAAAAAAACACATTAATTTTCACTCTGTTCTCTTGCATTTTGCGCAGCATCATACATTTATATGAAAATAACATCAGTGGATGGTTAAAAAATTGGCTGCATTAAATAATAACCCAGCCCTGCAGCTGTTTTTCATATCATGAAGCTTAGCCTCCCTGGGTGTCTTGGATTATTTTGCGTGAGAATGAGCTAAAAATATCTCTGTGATCAAATTTTAGCATTTGCGAAAGGTCAAACTGCGACACAAACAGTCAAGCTTGCACGCCTGGTCTCTGACTCAGTCAGGCAATGAGAGAAAAAGAAACAACATCATTCTGGAAATGAAGAAATATGTTCTACTGTCTGCTTTAAATGACATCTTAAATCAATACCTTTCTGATAGAACTTTGGTGTGTTATTATCACAAGTATATTTTATTCTGACAAGTGATTTAGGAAGGAGCTCAGCACATGCTGCACTGACCTGAAGGCTGAACATGCATGAATATTTATGAGCCTGCTCGGATATCAAAAAACGACTTACCAAAAAGTGCTGACCAGACAGACTTCAGATGCTTTTGCTTTAATATGCAGCAGTTAGAGGTCTTGTAACTCAGCAGTTCAACAGAGACACAAATTAGTATCGGGAGTCAAAAGGTCTTTGAGTGTTCTTTGAATGTATTTACCCAAAGTAGTGCAAAAATCCCAGTCTTACCTGTAGAAAGTGGGATGCAGGGCTGTGACTCTGCATCTCTGCAGGACAGACACAGTGAACGACATAAAGAGTCTCGATTGAACCTCCGGCCACCGAGCCAATCTGCCACGTACGCCACCGTGTCCGCCTGGCATCACCAGCCTGAGAAGCTCATCCTGGACTCCTGCAGGTACGAGGCAACAGTAAGTATCCTTTTCTATCTTCAGCACACGTTTCATCTGTTTTTGTTTCATTAAATAGATATATTTTTTCTTCTCTTTATTTGGTTTTGATCGTCATGAGCAATGAGGACACTGAATTCTGAACTGTTTTGATTTATCTCTCCCCTCAGTATTTAGGATCATTGATAATCAGGGATTTACGAGGAATTGAGTCCACACAAGATGCCTGTGCTAAAATTAGGGTGAGTTAAAGAATTTTGCTTTTCTTCCCACTCCAACCTAAAAAGAACAAATACATGTTTTTGTTCTGAAGTTCATTTATCATGAGAATTTGAGTCTTATAGTGAATAATTTAATATTTTTGTTGTTACACAATTGTGTCAACCTTCCATATACAGGCTCAAAGATTTATATGTGTCCCTCAGAAGGTTTGTCCATACATTCTGGAATAATTCTAGTTGAATATTCAACATTCTTTGGCCAAACTGACAGAATATCTTCAAATCAGTTGGTTTCCTGGGACAAAAAATAAATTAAAACTTATTCCAGAATTTCTTCCATCACATAGAGACCTTTGGAAAAACATTTCTGAAACATCATGTTAGCTTCCTTTATCCCTTCAAAACACACTTTTGATATTGGCATGAGCTTAGGTTTATACAATATATATGTAGTAGTACTCACCTTGCATTGTACAAGTACCAAGTTAGTGAAACTCAGTGTGATGCTTGACAGCTGGCACAGTGTCAAGCTGTCAAGTGTTAAAAATTTCACCCTGATCCAAACCTTGCTTTTCCACTCAATTGTGATGCAAATTGTGAGCAATTTTATTTATTCAAAAAACATGTATTCATCTTCTAGTTTCAAGAGAATCAACCAGGACAAGCAAAGTGTAATTTCATTGGTTGTTGATGTAACTTATCAAAAAACAATATGTAGAAATTTGTCTGTTTTTTGTGCCTCTGGTAAGGCCTGACGGTTTCAATTTTGGACCAGATGCTTGTTTCTTAGTTGACACCCTCTTAAGTTTATCGCAGTGTAAAACTGGTGTTACAACAATTTCTTCAATACAAATGTGGTCTCATAAAAGACAGGCTCTTTTGAACAAAAATGAAAAAAGTGTTCCAAAAAAAGGAACAAAAAAAAAGAAAGACAGCATGAACGCTATTTTGATAAAACATTAATGATAAAGTTTAGAAAGACTTAGCTGCAATAGGACTAGGTGGAGTGAAAGACCAAAGAGTGTTTTGTATTTTAACATGAACCAATGAATGTGTGGCTGGTGTGTAATGATTACCAGTTCAGAGAGGACTTTGGAGTGCAGTGGTGAATTTTGGACGGATCATTTGTTGCAAATTGGTTGGCAGAGCTGGAGAGGACACCAAGGTTTTTAGAGTGAGCTCTTACATACCCTTCTGTAAGTTACATCATAATTAAACAAGGAAATGATGGTATTGTTTTTTTAAAATATTAGTTTAGAAGAGAATGTGAAAGAGAAAAGCTGACTTTTAATTTAACCTTAGATTAATTTGTCAGTGCAGTTTGGAAAGGGCAGAATGTTGTCTGGCCAGGTTCCCGAATATTTATACTCAGTAACCTGAGTAGATGTGTCCTTTGAAGGACAGAGGTACTTGGGATTTTCAAAGGCACAAAGCCCTTCTTATCAAACCACATGACTTGGTGGCATGGTGATACAGTTGGTAGCAGTTGCCTCGTAGAAGGTCCTTGAGGTCAATGCTAGACTATTAAAAATCTGCAGACTATGAGCTTGAAAGTTTGTGTCAGAAAACCAACCCATTTAAATCAATTTAACTGATTCTAACACCAACAACCCAGAATAATGTTACAAAAACTGGGTGTTTAAAGTGCAACTTACAGACAGATTTCACAAATATTAGTGGTGGTGTATATATATGTTTGAATTGCATAACCTGCAACGTCTTGAAAAGCTCCAGATTGACATGACATTCATTCCTATAAAGAGTGTATGTATACTTCTGACCAAAACTATGAATCATTAAATCTGAGGAAATGAAGAATAATCAGTTTCTCTTTTTTTTAAACATGGCAATGATGTGAATCTTTTTCATTTCAGAAATCAAAGGATTCCAAAAAGGGCCCAGTTGTCATACTGTCCATTACCTATAGAGGTGTCAAGTTCATCGATGCTGCCACTAAGGTGAAGTGATGTTAGCATCTGTGCTAACAGATATAAAGATTTCAACACAAAAATTGCTGTCAAATTGATGGAGATTGATTACTTTTCACATTTTACCTCATGTCTGTCTCCAACAGATGATAGTTGCAGAGCATGAAATCAGAAACATCTCGTGTGCCGCCCAGGACCCAGATGACCTCTGTACCTTTGCTTACATCACCAAGGACTCGAAGAGCGGCCACCACTTCTGTCACGTCTTCAGTACTGTGGAAGTCGTAAGTATTCAAACCAGTTTTAAACTGTGGGAAATGCAAATGTGAACCTGTTTGTCATTTTGTCAAGAGTTATAATAATCACTGCTCTTTGCATGTCATCAGCTACCTGCAGTTAAACTTGTATGCAAACATCCTGTTGGCATTTTATTCGTCTCTATCATCTCATCAAATAGCTTGATTTGGTCTCTACTGTTAGACTGAATCACTTTTCATCTGAAGTTTTGCTCAATGTCTCAGTAACTGTGAAAAGGTCAACAACAATCATTGCATTTTCTTTTTGTGTGAAAAGGGGTAATTATCAGTCATCAGTGTCAGCAGTCTGTGAATTGTCTGTGTTTTTTAAGCAGGAAGAAATTCTCCTGAATCGGTTTCCTTTTAGTTGTTGTTCAAAACATTTTAATATGTAATGATACATTATGCTACATGGAGCCGTTCAGGGCTAACGATTCATCTATGAATATTGCATGTGCTCATCATTTTGTAGTAATTAAGATTTGTAAAACAGAATTGGTCACAGATATATCGAAAAAGAAGGTCCATACTGATTTTATGCATAACAAAGCTTTCGTTGTACATAAAGTACATAATTTACACATTAAGCAGTACACAGTTCCACTTGAAATAATACTAAGTAATAATAAGTTTTATTTCCACTTGAAATTCTACACATTTTGGAATGCCACAAATTTCAACATATTTGTTGAAATATGTAATCACAGTTCAGCATAAAGTGGGAAGTGGGAGAATAAAAATCTAAATTCTTTTACAAATAAAAATCAAAAACATTATGATGTGCTTTTGTGATAAGATTCCATTCCTCTGATAGCCTTAAATAAAGTTCAATTTAACCAACTGCCAACAGACTTTGGGGAAATTACAGGGAGAACATGCAGGTGGCTTCACCTCATGCAGTTGATGGGAATATGGATGGCGTGCGAAATACCAAATAATATTTTAATTTTAGTAAAATGTGGTTCTGCAAAACTTTGAGTTATGGAGGCTGAATAAAAATGAATAAAGCATTTTTGAGATTATACGTGTCAGTTAATGTTTTAACTTTTTTTTCTGATTTAGATTCAAACGTATGAGATCATCTTAACACTGGGACAGGCCTTTGAGGTGGCTTATCAGATGGCAGTTCAGGCCAGGGCGAGACACTATGTGCCTCCAACATCTCTGGGCTCAGAGTTCATAGAAACCAAAACCAGCCGCCCAGTGTCTCAGTCGTGGAACAGCACGAGAAGATCAGCGGTGAGTATCAAGAAAGGAGGAAAAAATGGTTTTTATTAGGCTTTTCTTGTTATTTGAAGTCATTCAATGTTTATAAGGTGAAGGAACTGGTAGAAATATGCAGTTATGGAGTCATAATTCAGAAAATATACACAGACCTCATGGCTGAGTTCTCTCCCTCCGCTGCTCAATTCCCAATACGCCACCTACAAAGGAAAATTTGCTGTGTGTGGGGGAAAAAAAGTGATGAGTCATTACTTTTCCACCAGCTTCCACTCACATACCCCACAGCACTGAGAGTCCATCCCGATCAGTGGTGATTTTCTATTGGTGCATATGCGAAAAAAAAAAGAAGTGATGAATGAAAGCTTTATTTGTTGCTCACAGGCAGATGAATGATACACTGCGGGTCAATCCTAAAAGCTCAGCCCCCCCGGTGGGAGGACACGCCTGCATGTTCTCACCTATGATTGAGTAGGCTGCGTATTTTCTCCCAGGGGAACGCATTGACATATTGACCTTTCTGGCAGCATATAATAGGCGTTCAGCAATCACTGTCACCTCAGAGTGTGTGTATGCTGCAGGACCAACTGCTTATGCAGAAACACAAATCATTTTGTTTTACCATCTGCCTCTTGCCATAAAATATGGAGTATGCACACATCTGCATAATGAGCCTGGCTCAGTGTTCAGGTTTTAGATGAGACGGGGACTGATTTTTGTCATCTGTGATTAGTTTTAATGCTTCATGCTGCTCCAAAATGTTGTTGGTTTAAACAAATTTTATATATCATCCCCAAAGTGTTGTTAACTGTCTCCTAAGCCCCATCCCACAATGTTACAGTTGTTACAACATTAATGGCTTTGAGTGTCAGGAAACCAGCAGAGTTTAGCAGCTTAACAAGGACCTGTGCGTCTCTGATAGGGCTGCAACTAATGATTATTTTATTAATTGATTAAGCAATTAATCAGATAAAAAATATTAATGTATACTTTTTTAAATATTTTTAAGATAAGAAATATACTTAAAAAAATGCAATAATATAGCATTCCTGTAGTGTATGCTTGATCAGTTGTAGATTAATTGATTAATTATTGTATTAACTGATTAAAAATTGGATAGCAAAAAGTTCTTAATTAAAATGTTCTTTTTACAGAAACTGTTTTAATACAGTTTCTAAACTTAAATGAAGATGTATGTATATATTTATGGTACAGCTTTGACTAATTGCTGCTCTCCGTACATTGTCTGTGTACTCCAGTTAACAATCAATCAATTACTAATTTAGTTGGGGATTATTTCAATAACTGATTAATTATGAATCATCCGATTAATTGTTTCAGCCCTAATCTCTGTAAACTAGAAAATCAACGAAGAAATCATTTATTTCAGGAATTCAATACAAAAAAATAAACTTGCATACTTTATGGACCAATTAAAAAATTAAGTGATAAATGTCAAATCTTTATTTATTTTCATTTTGATATTTTTTGTCTTGTAGTTAATGAAAACTTAAAATTCAACTTCTAGGAAAATGTTATTATTTCCTTTAAAAATTAGGCAATCTTAAAAAAGGGGGCTAACATAGGATGCCCACCTATTTGAGAACTGTGTAGTGTCCAGTGAACAGAATAAATACTTGTTGCAGCTCATTTTACTACTTATTGAGGAGTTAAGGAAGCCCAGGTTGGGTTAATAGTGGCCTTCAGCTGTTTTACATTGATGGGCCTGTTGTCTCTCATCTTCTCTCTTATGAGCATCCAGACTGTGCAGATAATTTCTTTCCCCATGGATTTTTCAATCATGTTGGTGTTTTGGTGGTGTGGGGAGGCACCAAGAACTGCTGGAAAGTAAAATCAGTATCTCATTAAGCTTGTTGGTAAAGGGATCCAGGAACTACCAGCTCTTAAGGTTGCTGGTAGGTGGCTGTGCTGATTTTGAAACTGACAAAACACAGCGGATCAACACCAAATGAAATGGCTCACCAAATCATCACTTTAATCATCACTGAAATATTAAACTGCATCCAGAGCTTCTTAGATTTTTTGTCCTCAGACGATAGGAACTTGATTTCAAAATGAAATACAACATGTAGTTTCATCTAAAAAATAAGACTTTTTACTACTGAGCAACAATTTAGTCATTTTCTCAAGTTCTTAGTTTCTTAGTTTAGGTAAGACTGTTCTTGTCTCCAGTTTAATAGTGGCTTACCGCAAGGAATATTGTACCTATGCCCTGGACATATCTGTGATCAAGAAAACTGACTCAGTATTATGTTTCACAATACTTTTGAGGTTGTAATTTCTCTTGTTAGTGGTGCACCTTTGTCTGCAATGCTTTTTCCTTCCTCCAAACTCTCCACTAACATGACTGGAACAGCAAACTTATTCAAAAATGACTTTTTGTGCCTCCTCCTTGTGCATCATGCAAATGTTGATAAGCAGGTTCTGCCCATAGTTATGTGGGCTGCCATGATAAGTTAACATAAACTTTCTGTCTGGGAAACTGATTTTGAGTTTTCATAAGCTGGAACTCAAAATCAACAGAAATAAACAATATTTATTTAATGAATTAATATTTAAATTATATGACCTTTAAACGGAACTACTGACATAAATTACCTTTATGTCAGTCAGTAAAGGTAATGTATGAAGTTGCTTAACACTCCCACCCTCAGTGCTGTGGAAATGTCTTGTTTAATTGCCCGGAATTGTTTTAAAATGTAAAAGATGTCCTAAGTATATTCTTGACAGCTACATGCGTGGCTTTATAAAAAAAGACTAAGCCTAAAGCAAACAGTCAGCCCCCGCAGAAGCAGCTGATCCACATGGCGAACCCACATCTAATTCCAGCATTTCAAAAATGATATGGACGAATCTGACACCCCACTCTTGCTTTTTGTTTAAAGTAATTAGGAAAGGCTTTTATGGTAATGGGTAATTAGTGAGTGTCTGCCAGCCTCAATGCTTGTTGAAGTTACTCTGACAGATGCGTAAATGCAGAAAAGATGCAAAAGGAAAAAAAAATCAGTGGCTAAAATTCACGAAATGCGAAAATAAAAATGGAAAGATGAGGATGGACTAATGCCAAAGAATAAACAAAATGAGCTTAGCAACAATTTTGCCAGACAGCCTAATGCAGTAGGTATCAAACAACCACAAATCATATCTTTACTGTAAATGTGGGGTTATTTTTTTGGTTTATGGTCGTCACACACCTCCGTGGGGTGCGTAAAGGATTTTTCAAACGGCTTGGCGACTGTTTCATAATCCGTCCGTGTGTGTCAGGCGTGCAAAAAGAGCTGCTGCTTATGATGAAACAAATGAACCTGATGTTTAATTAATTACACTCTGCTCCATCCTCACGACTGCAACGCATGCACACCACGTCAGCATGTGTAGAAATCCAAAGCTCTGCCGTCCTCGGCTGCTGCTGCTGCTAAATGGGATTGGGACGGTTGTTATTCAGAGCCAAAAATCCCCGACATGAAAACAGATTTTTCTAATGATATTCCTGTGCTGCTGCTGGATTTCTTCACTGTCCATTTAATGCTCTGTCCCTCCTCTCCTGCCTTCTTTTTTATAACATGTCTTTGTTCTTGTCTTCTCGGTCCTCCTGCTTCCCAGGGTGCCCCTCTGCTCGAATGCCGCTGCTGTCACTGTCACACGTGTACTACCCACCGTCCTTCCTTCCTCCCGTTGCACTCTGTTAGCCCTGGAATCCAGGTCCTTCTCTTTCCTTTCCTTTATTCAGCCCTCAGTCACCATACATCTGCTTACACACCTGAACCTCCTTTATATCTATTTTTATTATTATCATTATTATCATTATTATTTTGGCGATGCTGCAGTGCACTTTGACTCTTTGTTTTGTGGTTCTTAATATTTTGGAGCTCATACAACCTCCTCATCCCTTTCCCCATCTCTCATCTCCATCTTACATGTTACAGTTTGAAAATGAAATTAGTGGAGGCTTTGTGGGAAAAGGTGAAAAGGTCACGTGACTCTAGTGGCTATTGAGGGTTAAATTCATTGCAACAAGATTGCCTTTGGTGGTGTCAGATGGATAGTTGCAAAATGCTTACCTTAAGTTATTCTTTATGCAATTTTGACATTGTTTTGTCAGAATAAAGTATGAAGGAATGTGCATCTTGAATGAGCTGCTTCTTAACTACTAGTCAGAATACTCTTTAGCTTCCAGAGAGTCATATGTCTGGGTTTGCTGCTGCTGCTTACAGAAGCTGAGAGTATTTTCTGTCAGATGTCATCCATTCTCTGTGGATTGAGTCCTCAGTGTCTGTGATTATAACCTGATCACTGGACTGACTGTACCTCTAATCCACATGCACGTGTGTGAGCTGAGGACTTGTCAGTGTGGCACAAATGGCCTCCACTGCCACACGTCTCACACCTCCTCCTCTCGTCCCTCCTCCCTCCCCACCCCCTCCGGCAGATCGACCCCCTGGAGATGGATGGCGACATGCAGTCGCTGGGCAGCACCACCTGGCTCTGCGACCAGCGGGACTCCAACAGGCGTCCTGTCAGCACCAAGTACGAGACCACCATATTCTGAGGCCGGACTCTCTCCCCGCCCCGCTCCCTGCCACCCCCCACGGCCGCCCCCCGCTTCTCACTGCACCTCCCTCGTACTTTTTTCCTCTGCCCTTGCATCCGGTTCTCCGCTCATCTCTTTCTTTCACGGAGAAACACACAAACACACACACACTCACAGAGATATATACATGTGAGCCCCGTGCCTTCTCACTGTGATGGTATAGCATCCCTCAGGGCTGCCTCCTCCTGCACCTTCCTTTGCTCCGCCCAGCGACCCACGCCGACCTCCTACATGCCATGACAAACACTCCTGCGGCTCTCCCCAAGCTCCCACAACATCCCTGGCAGCCCCCCCGCGATTCCCCTTCGCCTGTTGCTGCTGCAGCTAATGGTGGAGCCCTGGAACAGATGATCCTGGACTGATCTCATTTTACAGTGGCCCTGCTCTCTCAACCAAACTGCCTCTTCCTCCTCATCCTCCTCTTCCTGACAACTTGCATCTGCCTACAAATCCCCAATAGCTCCCAGAGGTTGCATCTTTATTCTTCTTCTTTCAAGACATTTTTTTTTATTTTCTCCACAGGCAAAACAAGTATGTTCATTTTTGATTTGTTCAAGCTTGACTTCACAGCAAGTTCAAGTATTTTTAGATATGTTGGAATGATTTGTGTAAGGCTAAATTGGTCTATAAGCTTAACTCTTAAATGAACAGTTTGACATTTTGGGAGAAAATGTTGATTATTTTCTTGCAGAGGTTTGAGAATAGTGGTAGACATATTTTTGTAATAGAGGCTCAGTTTTGTGCTACATATTATGCATTTAGACATGCATAATATTTTAATATTTATTTAATATTCAATTTGTGCAAAGCATGTCTCTGCAGGGGTCAAAACCTAAGTTTGTAATTATTCTTTGTTACAGAGGTCATGCTATTGCATTCAACATGGGTCCTACTGTTATTTGTCAGACCTGGAGAAAAATAGTGAATTTTATTGAAAATGGCATCAACAGTAATTCCTACACACTACAGTAGAACTGGAGGCCTACAAATATTAAAATCCAGGAGAAAATTAGAAAATTGTACTTGGGGTAGTAAAAACAGATTTTTCATGCTTTTCTTAACATTTATTTAGATTTTCTATAGTACATGTCTTATTTAGATAATCAAACATTATTAAAATACAATTTAAAGATGAACTTGGTAAATAAAAATTTAGTTTTTAAGTTTTCATAATAATTTCTTTTGTAAACATCTATCTACAAATTAAAGTCAATGGACAAATGTGCTTTATTTACAATAATTTATTTAGGTATTATCTGAATGACAATTATTTCATGTGGATCTTTTTTTCCATTACTGAATACATTAGCTCTAATTAGACATTGGATTTTTTTTTAAAAAAAAAAACTTTAAAAAAAAATGTTTATGGTACTAGTAAAAAAAAAATTCCAAACTTTTGCATTTGTTAGTAATCACATAATAATCAAAAAAATATGCGAGTTTGTCAGAAAATGTGTTTTTATTCAAAAATGTGTTATATTTTTAACATAATAGGTTTCTTTTTTTTTTCTTTTGGATGGATGGATTACAATAAAAACAGAAGTGTAATTCACATGCTAATATCAGCATAATAACATTTATCCATGGTTATTTGTGTGTTATCATTCTTCATTCTCTGCAAGAAAGCAACTACGTTGTCCTCAAAATAATGACCTGTTCCTTTAAGATTCCCAACAATATAGATTTCAGTTGTGCAGAGTGACTATGTTGTGTTCACATTTTTAAGTATATATATATATTTTTTTTTTTACTTATTGATTTGTTTTCTTTCAAGACAGTTATATACTTTTTTCTTTCTCCATCTTTAGCCTGTCCTGTCTTACCAGGCATCTACCACTGTGAGGCACTATGAGGAGGCTGCTTTGCTAGCATGGGATGCAAGATGGACAAATAACATAAATATATATAAATATATATATAAGTGAAAGACAAAAACAGCAACATGCAGCAAACAACCTGTATTTTTTTACTCATTTGTACAGTACTCATAGTAAGACCACATATGGATTGGTCACAAATCTATCACTGATGTCTGAACTCAAAGTGGACTGAGAGCTGAAACCTCCTTACACAATATTGCAGTAATTATAATTAACTAAAAAAATCCCACCTGATCTCCTATCCTGCCAAACTCCAGCACCCAACAGCTGCACGCCTACAACCAGTTTTTAACAGAAAGAAGAAAAAAAAAAGTTACATTTTGGATTTCCTGCTGTATCTAACTGTGACTGGCTGGAAAGACGTGTAGATGATGGTACAGGTTTGTTGAGATGAGTTTGGCCTTGTACTGCCCAGTGCCTGTCAGCATTAATGGTAGCGCTGAGAGCCTGCAAATCTTCTTCATTTAAAAACAAAACTAAAACCACTGTGTTTAAAAAAAATCAAAGCAGCACTATCCCTTTTAAAACTTTGTCTTCTTACAGTGCAAGTGTAGTATTAGTGCATTTTGTGATACTTTTTTAAAGATGGGAGGTAATTGAAAACAGATTAGAAATATCTCGATAGAGATATAGAGAAGACAACGACACAGAAAATAACAAAAGTAAGCATATTAAGGATGTTGGAGGTAGTCCCAGGCTTTATGTATTTTTGTAATCTACAATCAAAGATCAGTTCATTGAAGCTGTAGTTTAGACTTTTGAAGTGAGGATATAATAAAAAGAAAAAAGACACTAATATCTTACCTTCAGTAATGAAGTCTTTTGGTGTTTTCATTCAGACAAACAAAAAATGGTCATGTCCTGAAGGCTGAAGTTAAAAAGTCATATGAGAGAGGTAAATACCAAAGTGGACTTTTCTTTTCCAAAATATCAAACTGAAAAATGTTATTGTGTTATACAAACACAATATCACTTTTCTGTTTGACAGTTACTTAGATTGGGTCAAAGGAGATGTGCCATCAATAATGAGAAAAAGATTCAATGTGTTCCCTGATAAACTTTTCAAGCAATTGGAAACATTTTTATCTTAAAACTCTTCACTCAGTAGTTTGGTAACACCCTTCTATTATATCTTAAAGTCATTTGGATCAGTGAACCAATAATCATACATTTCTGGTCTTGTAATGGAGGTTGGACAAGCAAATCCTTCTTCTCTAGTGTGCTGAGTTTGCATTATTCTGGCACAATGTAATGAAGTTCACTCTCCCCAACTTCAAATTCAAACTTTGGTGAAACTAAGCTGGTATTGCAAAGAATGGCTTAATATTTTGGCATGGTTTTTATTGTCAAGTTCAAGTTGATAAGAACTTAATTTATGACGTTCTGCTCTCCGTACATTTTTAGTAAAAATCATTACGTCAATAATCCTTAATTTCAATGTAAAGTGTTGTGTCAATGGTCGAAAGATTTATAAAAATTGTTCTCACATAGATTAACTTACTTTTAGAAAAACAATGCCGATCATAAGTCAATTATGTTTTTATTATTACAATGAGACCATTACTATGACTACTTCCATGGTCCATTTTCAATTGCTGTTACATGCAGGAAGTTAATTGTTGTTGCATCTCCTCCAATGTGTATTTAGAAAATTGCTGTGACATATTAGACTGTTGTTTTTTAAGATGGTAGAAGTCCACTCAGTGTTTTTAGCTGTTAGTTTCAGCCTCCAGGACTAACCAAGATGTTTGCTGTTAATAACCTTCTAAGATAACCCCACTTAAAAAATCCTGAGCTGCCTCTTTAACACCAATATATTTATGAGCCCCCAGCAGAGATTGGTGCACATTTCCCTTCATGGCAAGCTTATTATACATGATTACATGTAGCTTTCCATTTAACTCCATTTCCGAATCTGGTACAGTACACGTAAAGTATGTCACTTCACGTAATTGAGAGTGTGTTTTTTCCATCGAGTTAATGCAAATAGTGTGTAAAGCTGGCAACAAAACATGGTTATTTTTTAAACCAAGTATTTTCCTCCTGCACTGTGATTGAAAAACAGAAGAAAGATGCTGATTGTGACGATGAGACATGTCTGGGTGCCCCCTCCTGTGCACTGCCAGCTGTGTGTGCTGTTTGCTTTGTTTTTGTCTGTCCTCATGGACGTTTGGACTGCTACATCACTGGCCGCTGTCCTTGTTTCTGTGTGCCGCAGGAGGATTGGGAGAGTTCTTCTCCAAAGACAGTGTGTCTGAAGACTGTATAGATGTAGCTGCTGTCTGTGCGGCACTGTGGTTGTGTCATTGCCACTTTGTTCTGACTTTTATCTGTTAGCTTCCACTGATGATGCATGTTTGGCAGTGTCTTTGTGTTTTGTCCCCTCTGATGCATTAGGCCTGAGCAGTCTCTGTATGTACTGTACTGTAGCAGCGTCTTGTCTCCATTCTTTCATCTGCCATATGTCTTTTATGTTCCCACTCTCTGCTTACATGCTAATTCATCACCCATCCCTCCGTTTCCACCTTTCTCACCATTTTTGTCACTCGTCCCCTCCATTTTGTGTGTCTCCAGGACAACCTGCTCTCGTATGGCTGCACACTATAAAAAAAAAAAAAAAAAAAAGCATTACACTTTAATGAAGAGCAGCTATTTAAAGTGAGAATTGGTAGCATGATGTGGCTCTGCATGTACCTGTCCTCTTTTTAACATTCGTATTCTCCCTGTGTAGCTCGCTCCAACGTTCAAGTTTCCGGACACCAAGCTGTGAGTTGAAGGGGAGCAGCCGATGCGAGTGTGTTAGAGTGTGTTGAATTAGTGCACAAAGCAGTGGGGAAATGGTTAAAAGAGAGAGAGAGGGAAAAGGGGCCAACCAGCGTTACTCTGACATTTAGGTCTCACTCTGTACACCTCCTGCTCCTCCACTGCCCCCGAGACGAATTCCCAACTCACAGTCAAAAGGTAACTTGTGGTCCCACATCACTGGCTGAACAGAACCTGTGTATCACTCCAGTCTCGAGAAAGGTCAAGTCTACTTCCTGGCCTCCGTGTGACTTACGGATCTTGTCATGTAGGTACTGTTATGTATAGAGCACTGTAGTAACATAGACCATTAATGAGAATTTCTGTTGATTCGGGTCTACTGAAGATAGCAAGAGCGCGGTCTGAAAAAGGGTAACAAAAGAGAAAAAAATAAACTGTACCAGCATACAATGCTTTGCCCATATTTGTGGTCAGAGTATGGTTTGTTGTTGAAAATGTGATACTGTTTCAAATTTCAAAGCAATATTATATTCATGATATTAAATAATACAAAGACTAAAGAAACCCTCCTAAGTCTGTTGTCAGCATTGATTTTCTTTACATGGCTGAGCAGTTAAAAACAGACACATTACACCAGCTGTTTGAAATCAAAAGTGACATTACAAGATGGTAATTGTTGTACAATTGTGCTTTCATTGTTTCCCCCACTGAACAAGATTAGTGGGTGGTGCGACTTCTAATCTAAACAAACGATTAGCCCCGTTTGTGCCTCTCTTGTACTTTATTATTTTCAAGTTGCAGAGCTGAAGCTCTTACTGATCTTTGGGAAACAAAAAGAAAGAAAAGAAAACACAAAGATGAATACTGCTGTGTGAGTGTTGTTGGTGTTCAGAGATCCCTCTAAGTATGAACAAAAACAATTAAATGTCAAGTGACTCATTTTAAGCGTAACCAGGAATGACTTGAATTATAACACTTCACATTTTGCAACATATTTTTAAACACAGATTTACCTTGTATTTTTTATGTGCTGCACTAAACATTTAAAAACAAATATAGAATCTCTGTAACAATGTCAGTAAAGTTTCAGCAAACAAGTCAAAAATCTCTGTGGCACAGGATCCTGGAAATCCCCCAAAACAACAAGATGAATTGTTAACAGTCCAGACATGTTTGAGCATTTCTGAACATTTAGCTTGCAGCTAATGCACAGCTCTGTAACTTCCCATCCACCTCACTGAGACAGCAGAAAATTCACTCAGTTAAAGAAACATCCCCACTGTTTTCTCACATTGTGCTTCGTTGACGTAAACTGATAAAAAAAAAAAATAATAATTTCATTATTAGACTGTGAGAAATTGCTCAATAGGATGAAAATTTTACAAAAGAGTAGATTAAAGATATAGCCTAAATAATTATCTTACATTATATTTTTGAAACTTGCTTAAACACCTTAGCCTTGAGTCATGAGGTTACATACTCTATCATAGTTAGCTTTAATTTGTTTAGATTTTTTAAAGTTCATATTGATTTATCTTTATTATAGAGGAAGCCAATTACACAACACTGACTTCCTATGTTCAGTTCCTAAGTACAAATGATTATGAATCAAAATAAATAAATTAATCTGCATTCATATTTTCTTCAACATTTTAATGCACTTATCATCAAAGAACAATAAATTTACTAACCACAAGAAAGGCATCTATTCTACTGCATGTGTTTTATAATCTAAAGGTTTCTTTTGGATCCTGGTGGAACCACATTACTAATATTAAACATAAAACCTCTCACTTACTGAAGCTGAAAGAACCTCCATTCTGTGTACAGAGGAAGAAAAAAAATGCTGCAGGAACTTGACACAAAAAAAGACAAACATAAAATAGGCTCTAAAGTAAATAAAGAAAAATATAATTCAATTACATTTTGAAAGGTTGGTTAGTCCTCTTGATGATTCTATCTGAAATTACAAATCCATCTCATTGAAAGAAGTTTCAGGGTATGAGCCATCACCAGGGACTGATCAACCAATCAGAAGCAAAGCTGTAAAAGCATTAGTTGATCACAAAGGAATTCCACTATTTTTATAAAACACCTCATTTTGATGTGGATGTCTTTAATTTCTAAAAATCTTCGTAACTTATCACTGTAGAGTTAATAATGAACTGAGGTTGGTTTCCTATTCACACTGTTGTTTTTAAAGGAGCCAAGATCCAAAACCGCTTTTCAAAGAGGTTAAAGTACCATTTTGGTACGTAATCGAGTTCTGCAGAGATGATTGTCTCGTCAAAATGATTCCCTGCAGACCACAAGCCCCCGAGGTTCAATTTCATAATGAAACCCAAAACTGAGACTTAAAACGAATACAAACTAGCTACTTTAGACCAAATCGTTATTATTAAAAGAAGCTTAAAATATATATTTATCAATTTCAAAAATCTCATTAAAAGCAGAAAAATAACTGCTTCATTGTGGTAGATTAAAGAATATAAGTGTGAGTTCATTTTTTTAGTAAAAATATGTAATGAGCACTTTACTCATTTTCACATTAATGGTTGATTATGGCTCTCAGTCTGAAAAGTTATGTTGCAAGTAAGCAGCAGACCAGGAAGAGAAAAAAAATATAAACAAACTTTATTACTTGTTTTATTACTACAAAGAAACCCCAAAAGTAAAGTGGCATATATTATTATGAAGGCCATATGTAGGATATTTATTTTACTCAGTCCATTATTTTTAAATATAGTTTTTCACTAAGAGTATTTGTTTAAGATTCATGTATTTTTATTTACTTGTTCTGTAATTTGAGCTGTTTGAATGGCTATGAAATATGAAAAAGGAAAAAAAAAAAGTGTTTTGTTTCCCAATAAAAGCCTGTTTATTTACACAATTCCCTTTTAACAGTATATATAGATCTGGTTTATAATCAAAGGTGCAAAGGAAGAATAAAAAGAAATACAAAAAAGTGCCCAATGTCTTTGGTAATTCATACATAAACATTCATCAACATCAAACAAGATAAAGCATTGAATAAAATATTTACAATATTTTAGCATGTATTTTTGTCTTGCCATTTTGATCTCTTGCTATTTATTTCTGCTACATATTCTTGTTTTATGAACACAAATTTGTTAGAATTCAGTAATTGCCTTATGCTTTCACTCACTCTCATAACATTAGAGAAAATATTCAGTTTCTGTACTCTAAATATAACTAAAGAAGTTCAGCAACACATATTAACAGATTTCCATCTCAAGCTCACCCAACCCTCATAATTAAAAAGCAAAAATGTAACAAAATACTAGCTTATGATCATGTCACTGGGTTTTTTGGTTCAGCCCCATCTCAGCGCGAGTCCTCCCCAGTTTCACTCTCTCCTGACGGCAGCAGCAGCTTCTTGAGGATGGGTGCGTAGAAAGGACCGAAGACGGTTCGATTGAAGTGGACAATTCGCCCAAAGGCCGTCCCCAACTCTTCGAGCTCGGAACTCACCAGCCCGAGGGGAAAATGCAGCTCTGGACGGCTTTTAGCCGAGCCGCCTTGCAGCATGGCCAGGAGGACGCCCCGAACTCTTTCTCCTGGTTTGGCAAGAGAGAAAGATGGAGGAAAGTCAGAACTGTACAGAGGCTTTCATCAAAGTTTGAAAGCATGTAAACACTGAAAAAGAACCATAAAAAGTGCTCACTATTTTCTCCCATTAACTAAGAAAGAAAATGGTTAGTTTCAAGTCATCCTTCTCTTATGAGGAAAATTGTGCATCCCTAAACATAAGCTTTTAACAAACATTAATAATACATTTAATTTAAAAGCTTACAGAGCAAGTATAAGATCAAACAACATTAAAATGGGTCAAAAGTTCTACAGCTGAAAAAATGTGTTTTCAAAACATATTTATATGTGGTAGTTTAAATTGAATTGTAAATACATATGTTGTATAATTAAGTAAATTTGTCTCTGCTCTCTTACACATGTCAATATTTTATTAGATAAGAAAAAAAAATTTATGTAGAAAAATAAAAAATAAATAAATTAATATATCTTAAAAGCATACAAAAATATTTGAATTTCTATCAATGTTAAGAATTTATTTTATCTGACAGCATCATTTTCAAATTCAGTGGGCGGGGTTAACACCACTATGATCAAGGCCATTGATCTGCCTGTTAACTCAACCAATCAGATTTTCTAAATGGTTTATTTGAAAAGCCATTAAGAAATTCTGAATTATTTTAAGATAGACTGTAGCACAGGAAAAATGAAATACTTAAAATTGTTTTGAATGTAAGGTGTATTATAATTCAAATTTCTGACTTGTTAAAATATTTTTTCCATTTAAATATGTAAATATTTGCTTAATCCATTTTTTAGAGGACTTATGGACTTTATTAGCAAGATCATTAATCTAATGCAGACAGAACCGAATAGATGCACAGCCGCTGAAAGTCGAGCTTTTTGGGGGAGAGAAAAAAGGAGAAAAATCAGGACTGGAAGAGATTCTGATGTTTTATAATAATAAAAAAGTATGTAGGTGGAAAAGTTCTGAACAAACTGAAACTGTTCTAGGAACTTTAAAGGAAGGGAGTTAAAGAGATTTTGAAAAAAGCTGATTAAAATCTCAGTTTTATCGCTGCTTCAATCGAGAAAGTTGGAGGAAAAATAGTATGACGTTTTGTACAGAAACAGGGATTTGAGGTTCGAAGATCTGAATAGTAAAGTAAATCGCTATAAAATTTTCAGGAAGACATTTTAAAAAAGAAAGGAGATAAACAGGAAAGGACTGAAGACAGAACATTGGGGAAAATCAGAAGGGGATGGAAATGAGTTAGATTTGCACACATTGATTTAATAATGCTTCCTCTGGCCAGGGAGCTCAAATTTAAACAAACTGAGATGTGTGGCAGTCATACAAACAGAAAATAATCTATTTATGGGAGATAGCATGAAAGTCTGCAGTAAATAAGGATGAAAGTGATTAATATTCCAGCCCAGTAGTTTCTGTGCAAGGCATATTTTTTTGGTGTGAAATTGATCCATTTTCCCATCAAGGTATCTGCATTTTCTGCACCACACTTTAATCAAAGAGAACAACCAGAATGAACCAGTAAGTGCCTGGAAAATAACTACTCTTGGAATCCTGCCTGACCTATAAGTGTGCGGACCGGGTTGTTATTCGTCCACAGGTCAGATATTTGTCCTCTCAGCAGATCCTGGCTCTCCTGATGAAACTCTCCTCTCCTCTGGGTGCTCAGAGCGTCTTTCACCTGCTGCAGTACCGCCTCCCCGAGCGCCAACAGGGCCCTCTTCAGGTCAGCTTCCCTGGAGAAACAGAAACTAGTATTAAAATGTGTAACAGATCAAATCTATCAGGCTTATAGAAATGTATTCTTTTATGCAGATCGTTAATCGAGGGGGAAGACATTTTGATGAATTAAAAGCCTGTTGCGATAAATTAACAAATAGTAGGATTATAAAGTTGTTGGACTACTGCCATCCAATAATAATGGCAAGGCTATTCTTAAACAGAAAGAATGAGGTTAGCTGGATCTGTCCTGACAACCTAGTTGCCTCCTGTCACCTCCATTGGTGTCCATCTCATACAATACCTGTTCTCCATGACAGCCAGTACATGCATCACCCGGTCCTTCTCTTACCTGGTGTGACTGCCCTCCAGCAGGGCGGTGATCGTCTGCTTGAGTTTACCTACAAACCCTTGCAGGGAGAAAGTGTCGCCCCGACACTGAGTGGCGGTCAGGAGCAGCACGGAGGCCTCCAGGACCAACATCTGGAGCTGGTGGCGCAGAGTGTCCAGGCGGGACCGGTCCATCAGCATGCTCTGCAAAACACAGTCACCTCGTTACCGTGAGTGACTTAAAGCTCCAGATGAATTCAAACTAAGTATGTGGCGCAGACTCGATGTTGATCAGCGAGTTTGTAACTTCATCCGACATTGCTGTGTTGATCCGTGTAATAAAAGGGTTTGGAGCTGCTGTTCTACAAGAGCTCCAATGTCCTGTCACATTCTTTAACATGCCGCAGGGTAAGGAAGAGTGCACGGAGCAGCTGAATATTCCCCCCACAATCAATAAAATATCAAGTAGTGTAATGAAAGGTGCAGCGAGATGTTATTTTCTGAGTTGCCGCTGACCTCAGGATATTTCTGGTCATGCGGGTCCCAGTGGAGCAGATGCATGTAGGCGCGGTTGAGAATAGCAGTGGCGCTGGGGAGAGCTCGACTGTCAGGACCGGGAGAGTCACACTGAGCTGGGAGCGCCGCCGCCTCCTCGGACGCTGCAGCCACAAGCCAAGCAGCTGTGTTGTCTAGAGAAGCTGAGAAAAGAAAAGGGACATGCTTAAATAAAACACACAATTAAACTGTAGTGCAAATATCACAGAGGATCTCTTGTATTTTTGGATTATACAGGTTCAGATTAGTTCATGGTTTCAAGAAGTTCTACCATGTCCACAGCAAAACATTTCTAATATCAGACAACTGAGATATCTTGATATTTTTCTCAGATGAGGTTTTCACAGCACAAGAATAGGGCTTCACTAAGCCATTATTTACCTATCAATTATAATATTCCATTAATCACAATTAATCAATAAAATTGATTTTAAAAATTGGGACATTCACGTGCAGATTTTTCATTTTAACACTTGAATTGTTCTTATGCATTGTTAAAAATAAGCTAAAAGGCAAATAAAACAAAAATTTATGATTAATGTATTGATGTTTTATGTGTGATGTAATGCTCTAATCATTAATGGTGTATTTTCATTAGCAGTAAGCAAAGAAAAAAGAGAAAAAAAAAGGCTTTAAAATATAATTTTGTGTGTGTAAATAGTCTATATGATAAGTTTTACATAGTGAACACAGTTACTGAAATAAACTTTACAATAAAATTACAATTTATTTATGACTGCAGATGGCAACAATATTGTTTCTATCAGGTAAAATTACTCTCCGCTCTTTCTTCCATGCAGTTGTTACTGCCATTTTCAGAGCTTACAGATGGGAGGTTGTGCTGTATAAAAAAGAGATTTTTGAGGAACACGAAGCTGTGCCCATACATAGATATATATTTATCTTTTTATTTTATTTTTAAAAAACTTACTTGCATTCTGAAGAGGCAGTAAAACAATAGTTTTATTAATCAGTAGCTTTAGTTTTACTTTAAAGGGTTCCATGTGTGACTACTCGCTCAGTTTCTCACACAGGGCATTAGTAGATAAAAAGTGGAGGATGGTGATTTAGTGCGACAGAGGTCAGAATCTGTTTAATTGAATACCGAGACATTAAATTACCGTAAATGTTTCTCTCACAAAGTCACCTATGCCATCTACATATATCTCTGTCACTGCTTAATTAAAACAGAGGAGTGAAACAAAGATAGATTTCCCCCCCTTCACCTGGCTGCTTGTCCAGGATCTGCTGAAATTTGGCTCTCTCATACTGCACAGCCTGCTGCAGTAGATGAGGCCTCAGGCTCTGGATGGTGAAGTTAACCATGTCGCTCTTCATCACTCCCAAGACGCGGAAGATACCCCTGAAGGAAAAGGTTACTTACGTTTACTTATTTATTGACGGCCCCATGGAAAAGGGTTTCATATCTATTCTATTCACAATATTCTATTCTATTCTATTTCACATTTTGTCACATTAAAAGCTCAACCTCAATGGATTTCATTGAGATTTTATGTAGCAGACCAACAGCAACTAGTGAATAATTGGAAAGATGAAGGAGTGGGCAGACAGTATTCAACCTTCTTCAGAAATAAAAATCTGAAAAGTGCACATTTGCATTCCCCGTATACTATGATTCACCTACAATAGGTAAAATTCAGTGCAACCCATTACCTTCAAGTCACCTAATTATAAACACTTCTTATCTGTGTGTAAGATGAGCTCAGTATAAATACAATGCAGGGCTTTTTGTTGTAGCAAAATGTGAAATGTGTTTAAGACTG